CTTGCAATTTTTCTGTAACCTGGAAATTTTTAAGATGCAACCATGGTGGGAGAAGAGACATTAATACATGAAAATGAAAATCTTGTATACATTTTTTACAGATGAAACTCATGTTAAAATTTGAAGCTGCTGTTCTGAGTGTGAGCATGTATTTATCCTAGTAGAGACTCTGCGGAAGGAAGGAGGAAGATGGTATATCCCATATGGGAATGTCCATGCAGGCAGGACCAGCCCCTGGCTGTGATTTGTGACCGGAGGCTCTCCAGTGCAGACAGCACCCTCCCCCGATAAGCCACAACTATTCAACAATTCATCCCTCACCATAACAGCTTCAGGCAATGTCTCTGAAGCATCGGCTGGTCTCTTTGTGTTCAGTGCATACAGTCTTAGCAATGAACATTGTTACCGAAAAAAGAATCATCTGTAAACGGCAGGTTGATTTGAATTAGCGGGAGGAAGAGTTACTTTGGGAGAAGCAGTTCCTTAATAAATTACGAACAAAAAAACTTCAAGATGTTGAATGGCACACCCAACCTTGTAAATAATTTAAGAAATTTTAAGAGTTGAAGCTTACATCTTCAAGGGACACAGGCAAGGTTTTAAAAAAAAATAATGGATCAAGGCAGATGATGGAGACAGTCAAATAAATAATCAATAGATGCTACACAGACTACAGTATATAGATATTTATATGTCAGCTTAATAGACACATGGTGTATGAATAGGTAATACTGGGTGTTTGGTCATTACAAATATTTTCCCTTAAAATGACGCAGTTTCTGTATGCATAAAAAATTTTTTTTAGAAAAATTTTTTTTAATTTTTAAAAAACATTTATTTATTTATCTTTAGAGGGGAAGGGAAGGAGAGAGGGAGAGAAATATCAATGTATGGTTGCCTCTCATGTGTCCCCTGCTGGGAACTGGCCTGCAACCCAGGTGTGTGCCCTGACTGGGAATCAAACCACGATTTTCTGGTTCACAGGCCCGTGCTCAATCCACTGAGCTACACCAGCCAGGGCTATATATTTTAAATTATTTTAAACTATTATTTTAAAGTCTTCTTAATCAGTAAATATCACTTTAAACATCTTCTAGAAAATACTTCAAACATTTAAGATTTATTTTTGAAAACCAAAGTTCTCACTAGTATTTACTAATATCACTAGTATTTATAATATCAAGAAATTAGAAATAATGTAAGTATCCAGCAATATAGAAATACGTAAAAAAATGATAGTACCATTTAAAGGACAGTTTCAAAGGGTTTGAAAGTTAGAAAATCATTACAATATGGTTTATGGGAAAAATCAGAACTCAAAAATACTTTCATAACAGGATCGTTATATTAAATCAGGCAAAGAAACAAACAAAAAAAAAACCACCCCTCAAAACCGTGATGTATTGAAAAAGAAGTCACTAAAACTTGAACAGTAAATTAATTAATACATATTAGATATGTACATTAATAGATTTTTTCAAATGCAGTCAGTCTGCCAGGGTCTTTGCCTAATGACCTTATATAAAGTATATATACTTTTTACCCTGAGTCTGCTTTCTTTTTCTTCTTATCATTTCCTGAAATAATGATACATATGTACATGTTGCTCATTTCCTGTTGCCTCCACTAATAAACAAGCTTTTGGGGGGCAAGGACCTTGTCTGTTTTTCACAGCCTCAAAAAGTTTCTGGCACGTAATAGATACTAAGTAAAATCTAGTTGAATTCATTGAGAAATTATAATATAGCACCTCAAATATGATTGAAATTGTAAAAAAATACACAATTTGGGGAATAAAACATCCCACATCCTGTGAGTAATGAGATCATCTCTATTGTGTTAAGAACACCCCCCCAAAGCAAGCAATATAACCTCACATAAACCACATGATTTGTCTGATGGTCTGATTCCAGCTTGTTGGATGTAGGACTCAAGGGGAAGTTAAAGACTACCTCGTGTCCAATCTCTACTTTCATAGATTATAAAACACTGCCGTAATTCCAAACACAGGCTCTGGGACCTGTTCTGCTTCCACGTCCTTGTGGTTCTGGCGAGTGGTCTCTTGAGACTCAGTTCAGGACGGACGTGCCCCCCACCCAACAACACACACCCCCCCAACAGACACACACACACACACACACACACACACACACACACACACACACACACCTGCCAGAGTTGGGAGGTCCATGCACATGATTCCTGAGTTCCACGGTCTGCAGGTTCAGGAAGTAGGTGGAACAGCAGGATCCTCTCGTTCCTTCATGTCACAGACAGACTGAATAGCCTAGGACACCGTGGGCTTAATTAACAGAGCTCAGACATTCAGCAAGACTCGGGCTGACCAAAAAAATGCCCTCAGGAGAACACTTTGAAGATAGAAAGCCTAACTCCTGAATGGTCTACGGTATGTATTTTACTTTTTTGCCTCTTTTCACTTTATTGCATGAAGGCGTTACACTAGTCCGAAATGAAAGCAGACTCCAAATGGTTACATTATACAAACCGCGAGAGTTTTAAATTTGTGACAAGTAAAACCCATGAACCTTTAGCTGATCGTCCTTAGCCAGTCCACTCTCTGTGAGGAACTGGCATAAGTTCTTGTGCTGCTTCCCCTGCAGCTAAATTGCTTCTTCATATTCCAGATGCTCAACTGTACTACGATTGCAGGCAAAATTCTTCTTAAACACCTTCACTAGTTTCTTATTATCGTAATCACCAGCGATACCTTGGCCAGTAGTAAGGGTCTTCCTACTATTTCTCTGTTGGATTCGTATGTGGATATAATTCTCAGTTCCAGCAGGAAACAGATCATGACCTTTACCTGCATCAGCAAAGGGTTCGGAAGAGTAGAGGTTCTGGATGACAGACATATGATACAATTCCTTTTCCTCAGTGGAAAAGGCTTGCAGAAGCTGCAGCAGGAGGAGGTGGGCAGGGGGGCAGAGCGTCTGGAAGTGAGGGGACTCAAACGGGAGGTTGCTGAGTCCAGTGTGGCAGCTCAGTGGCTGGAGCTGCTACGTATTTTAACGTAACAGTATTTCCCTTTGAAGTTTCTGCCTTTGATATTATGCTTAGGAAAGACTTTCCCTTTTATGTATATTCATGAATACTTTATTCTAGTGTTTTATAGCCATCATTCTAAATTTTTAAAAAAGATTTTATCTATTTATTCTTAGAGAGAGGGGAAGGGAGAGAGAAAGAGAAACATTGATTGGTTACCTCTCCCACACCCACACGTGAGGACCGGGCCCTCAAGTTTTAACTAATAGTTTTCCCCAAAAATAGTTTTAAAAAGTTCATTGACATTAACTTATTTGATATTCCAAAGTTGTGAAAATGAGAAAAAAGGTCTAGAACAACACTAAAAGAAATATGATACTAGTGACATGTATATTTTAAAATTTTACTGTAGTCACATTTTAAAAGTAAGATAAACTGAAAATAAATTTCATGATGACTTTTATTTAGCTAATACAGTCAAATTTTATCATTTCAATGTACAACCAACATCAAAATTGTGAATAAAGTGTTTCACATCCTTTTTTTTGTACTGAACCTTCCAACGTGGTATGCATTTTGTAGTTTCAGCACTTCTGAGTTCAGCCACCTATGAACTGCTCAGTAGGCGCATGTAGCCAGTGGCTTCTGTACTGATGAGCACGGGTGTAGAGCAATGTTTCTTTACCTCAGCACTAGTGACATTCGGGACCTGGTAATTAATTCTTTGCTGTGGGGAGCTGTCCTCTGCCTTGTAGGAGGATCGCCTGCATCTCCAATATTCATCCACTAGATGTCAGTAGCATCCCTCCCCCAGCTGTTGCAACCGAAAATGTCTCCAGGCTGCCAAATGTCCCCAAGGGTAAGTGGAAGTAGTGCGAAATTGTCCTAGTTAAAAGTCAATAGTCTGGTAAAAGACAGAAAACTGTACTTGAACAACAATTAACTACATAAATTTAAAAAAAATCAATGGTCTAGAAAAACTGGGAAAAAAATACATGCTTGGAACAAATCTTAGAATCATCCTAGAGAGAATCTTTTTATTTTTTTATTTTTTAAAGATTTTATTTATCTTTAGAGGGGAAGGGAAGGAGAGAGGGAGAGAAACATCAATGTGTGGTTGCCTCTCATGAGTCCCCTGCTGGGAACTGGCCTGCAACCCAGGTGTGTGCCCTGACCAGGAATCAAACCGCTAATATTACTATAGGCACTAAACCATGGTAAGAGTACTTAAAATAATTAGTCCACCCAATTTTCATGTTTTAAAATCACAAAAAGGAGGAGGAGGAATGGCAGAAGGGGAGGAGGTTGGGAGGAAGAAAAAGAAGAGGGAGAAGAGAGAAAGGGAGGAGAAGGCAGATTTTTAAGTTAACCTTTGTGCTTATTTTGGCCTCCTCCTCACAGAAATAACACTGACTCCCAATTGAGCCTGTCTTGGTTTATTTCAACAACCTGGAACTCCTGATTTTGAAAATAAGCTGATGGATGCTTGTGTTGTCACCTGCATCAAACCGTGCCTGTGGGTTCAGTCAGTGGGAGCACCTGTCGTTGCTCTTTCCTAAAACTGTCTACTTCAAGTGGCAGTATCTAATGTCAAATGTGACGAGCAACAGACCCCAACCTCCAGGAGAGCTAATCTCTTCCCACATTTCACTTACCAACCAGGAACTCAGTAACTGGCAGCCTCAATTAACTGTGGTGTTTTAAAAGTATTAGGCTTTATATACATATTTTTTTAAGGCAGCTATGCTAATCACTATACAAAAAGTCAGCGTGGCGGTTACCAGAGGGAAGGGGATGGGGAGTAGTAATGGGTAAAGGGGGTCAAATAGGTGGTGATGGAAGATGATTTGACTTTGGGTGGTGGGCACACAGTGCAATATACAGATGGTGTGCCATAGAAGTGTGCACTTGAAAGTTATGTGGGCCTATTAACCAATGTCACCCCAATAAATGCAATTAAAAACAAGAAGGCAAGGAAATCAAAATTATAGCGGAGATTTATTCATAGAGGAAAGAAAGAGGGAAAGAAGGAAGAACTAAATCAGGAGGAACACACCTTGGGATACTCACATTCATCCCAATCTGATTCGCCCAGATTATCACATGTCTGCATGATACTCAGAATGTTGACCCTTACATAATTGGAGATCATGAGCCTTTGAAAACACCATAGTATTCTCATGCTACTTCACAATTTTTCAAAGTTTCTTAACAAGAAGAGCTAAAAATGAAAGGTCTCTGGTTGCCCCTTGGGTAATGGGGAAATTAAACCAATGAGAAGTTTCCACTCCCTAAGTGTTTCCCATTCATCCGGAACTTCATCTAACTGGATGAGCTCATTTGAAGATACTGAGAGTCTAGCTGTTGAGCATCTACACTAGCTACCCTGTGGACATCAGGCAACAACCTGATTATTTCCAGGACCTTCCATGGGCAGTTGGGACTACTGGTAGAGGAGGAATCTTTGCAGCGGCTCCGGCAGATGCAGCTCGTGGACGCTTTGATGACACGCTCGACCCAAGCACTTTCGGACACATAGGCGGCAGAGCTGAGAAAGAGCAGGCGGGCCTAAGGAAGGAATGAAAATGGTGTGAACCTCATGCTAGTGCAGTGGGGGTGGGGTGAAGAGAGACCAGAGGACCGGAAGAGGCAGAAACTTTCTAAAAGATTAAGAGAGGCTAGAGCTGTAAAGGAGTTAGAGAGTGAGGTAGCAAACACACAATACATGCAGGATTCAGGCCTGCCCCTTGGACAGGGACACGTTTCTTTATGTTGAGCCTCCAGTGGTCATTATATTACTGATACTGAAGAATGAGGTTAATTAGAGGCAAGTTAGGAATGAGCTGTGGGGTCTAAAGGGGCCGAAGAGGCAATGCAAATGGAAGCACTGAGCATGCAAGAACTGCACGCAAGAGACAGAACTGCAGAGCAAGGAACAACGGCCAGGAGAGTGTCAGCAGGAAGCCCGGCCTATGTGGTCACAGAGGCAGTGTCAGGAGATGTGCTGGAACCTTGGCACTCAGGGTTCCCCTGGATTGCCTGGCTCTAGCTTCCAGGAGGCGGTGCTGCCTGAGTCCTGACTCATGCTGGGAGGGCCTACCATTCTTGAAAGGATCCCAGCTCAACAGAAGATCGGGAGAAAGGATCCAACTCACTTAGAGCCCATTACACCCTGAACCTCTGCCTCATGGAGTCTCATGCCTATAGCTTTGAGCAGCTTTGAGTCCTAAAGGAAAGTAAACTAACAAAGAGTCCAAAATATGGTTGAAGAGGATGAAGGAGATTTGGGCTCAAATACTAGCTATACAGGGGAATTTGTAATGTCCCACTATTTTGTAACCTGACTCTATCAATGAATATATCTTCAAGGAGACTTACGTAATTACTGGACAAAGTTTTCCTTTTCAAGAAAATCCTACTGTGGGAGCACCTTGCACCCCATGAGAAATGGAGGGCAGCATGTGCAAATGGCCAGGTAACACTCGCATTAATATTGCCAAGAGGCATCCATGGGACACAAAGGCACCTAGAAGACCAATTGCTCTTAGTTAAAATCTTTGGATACAAGAATGGAAAGTGTCTCTACCTTTCACCCAACTGAAGCTACTCCAAAAAACAGGAATGTAGAGAAATTATCCAGGCTGCCTAGACCAGTTCAGAAACCAGCATGAACTCTGAAAGAGTTGGTGTTTATCCTTCTAGAGTTCAGGTGGCAAACACAAGGCCCGCAGGCCAAATCCCGCCCTCCCTCCACCTTGTTTTATCCGGCCCCACACCTTGTTTCTACCCAGCGGCAGTGCCGAGGTCCTCGCCCCTAGTTAAGGAGTAGTTACATTTATACAGTCCTAAAGTTACATTCGGCCCTTGGAAGGCAACCGCAAGGCTGATGTGGCCCCTGGAGAAAATGAGTTTGACATCCCTATAGAGCAAGCAGCTATATTTATGAAGAAAGAGAACAGATGAATGTGCTTATAAGAAATACAAATGCTGAACCTCAAAACATTTTTGATGGAAGAAAAGAAGAAATGTAACACCTGCCGCAAACCATATTCTCAGCTAATAGTTGGAAAGCATCTGGTATTTCCAAACTGGGATCTGTTAAGGAAGATCCTAATTCTTCAAGCACAGATTCTAATGGATTGCTGGAAATAATCTAGACCAATGGTACTCAAAGGGTGACCTCCGACCCGCAGCATCAGCACCACCTGGGAGCCGGGTAGATGTGCAGTGTCTAGGGCCCCACCCTAGACGTGCTGAATAAGAATCTGCATTTTAATGAGAGCCCCTGGTGAGTCCTATGATCTTTAAAGCTTAAGAAGCACTAGCCTAGAAAGTATTCTTCAAATTATTGAACCAAGCTTTACACATGGAAGGTATGTAAGACATGGAGGTGGTTTCACAAATCAAACTGGTGAGTGAAAGAAAACCCTTCCCCACTAGAAACTGTTTTGGAAGACTCAGGTTTGGGCTAATCGTAACATTGAGAATGCATGTTCAAGGGTCAGACTGCTTGGTTAGAATAGCGCTTCTGCTTCTCAGTCGCCATGTGACCTTCTGCAAGCCTGTCTCTTTATAAAGTTTCTCTATTCCCATTCACAGCTGGGATAGCACCAGTCACTGTAAAGTTCTTGCTGCTTTAAATCTTTCAGAATTCAGAGACACTAATCTATGTTTTCAATGTAGTTCAGTGCCTGGCACACTTAAAAACAAATAATTACTATTGTTAATACTCTCCCAAGCATACATGATCCATCTAGGCTCCGATCGTGCCTAGATTTCCATATAGACACAGCAGGGTTCTCTCTTTAATTTGGAATACAGAGCATTTTAGAAGCCGTCTTTCCTCCTGTGGCACCTGGAGTTGCATTAGCCGTGATGGAAATGGGGTCAAGGAATGAGGAATGCAGACCCACCTACTCCCTGGTCTGGAGAAGAGGCAAACAACTTCATTTAGTCTGCTTTCTGAAATACACGCACCTTGTATATATCACCTCTAACTCAAGGACTTCTAATTTCCCCTGAAATGCATCCAGAATTTTAGTCTGCTGAATCGTGTGCCCGTGCCAGGATAGATGTGGCAGTTCAACCTTTTCATGGCGAGAACAAAGTTCTCTGATTATTTTCTTGTTATGGAAAATACAAAGCAATATACAGTTGTCTACACATGCCCTTTGTTTATATGTGCATATAGCCAGCATATAAAATCCCATCTCAGTGATGCCAGCACTTCCAAATAAAAAAAAAAGAGGAAAGAGGTAAGAAAGCCTAGAGATGAGACAGAAAGGAGAGAGAACAGATGCACTGAAGGAAGAAAAATGCACACACAGCCCCTCCTTACCTTCCCAGAGCAGGAGTGCCTGCTCCACGCTGCTTTTGGGGGCTGCCAGATCAAGTGCACATTTGCCCTGAGCATTTCTGTGCTTCGGGTTAGCGCCGTAGTCCATCAGCAGGTGGATGACTTCCACACTGGAATGCATCGCTGCAGCGTGGAGCGGCGTGTCCAGACAGTGGCCGAGGTCAACACTGGCTCCTTAACAAAGCAGATGGCCACAGTTCAGCACTGGATGTTACATGTGAAAACAGAATAAGCCTAAAATATAGGAGCTGTAGGTAAAGACATCTTAAAAGCCATAACAATTTGACAAATATCTGAAAATGTGACCTAAGCCTAGAACCTCAGCAATGTCTATTGAGACAGGTTCAAAATACTTTGATGAGAAAAGTGTGTAAAAATATTTGTAGTCATTTAAAATACTTTACTTGCCTTCCCCTATGACTGACCTTTGTGTCATACAAAATTAAATACTTACAGCTCCTTTTAGAGTTATTTTGGTTGTGTTTTTTTTTTCTTTTTGCAAAGGATAAAGCAAAGTTTAGTTGATATTTATATTATTCCGAGCTGACAGAAAGATTTCTGAACTACTATAGGGAATAGAATATGATGGTACATTTAAAAAAAACAAGAAAAAATTTAGAGATAAAAAATCTTATTAGCCCTGGCTGGTGTAGCTCAGTGGATTGAGCGCAGGCCTGCGAACCACACGATTGTGGTTCGGTTCCCAGCCAGGGCACACGCCTGGGTTGTGGGCCAGTTCCCAGTGAGGGATGCATGAGAGGCAACCATACATTGATGTTTCTCTCCCTCTCTACTTCCCTTCCCCTCTAAAGATAAACAAATAAAATCTAAAACAAAACAAAAAAATCTTATTAAAGTTTCTCTTTTTAAAGATTTTATTTATTTATTTTTAGAGAGAAGGGAAGGGAAGAAGAGAGGGAGAAAAACATCAATGTGAGAGAGAAACATCAATGGGTTACCTCTTGCACATCCCTCCCTTAGCTGGGGACCTGGCCCGCAACCCAGGCATGTGCCCTGACTGGGAATTGAACTGGTGACCTTTCCATCCATGGGCTGGTGCTCAACACAGCTGACCCAAACCAGCCAGGGCCTAACTTACGGATTCTTATTCCAACCCGCACCTTTGTGTCAGTCACTAAGTTTGGGAAATCTCTAAATGAATAATAGTTTCAAGACATTTTACTTTTCCCTGGACTCTTTCTCCACATGGCTTTTACAATTTTTTAAAAAATCACTAAATAACTTAGCAGGATTGATCTTCAGTAGTCCATGGCAAACATCTGTTGTTTTTATGATATAGCGTCTTCCTGGTAACCACACCTAGATTTCCCCCGGGGAACATCCCTGTAATTCCTAGTTCATGTGCTGTCAGTGAAGCCCAACAGCTGCAGTACAGACCAAAATCTAAGGCTAAGCCAATCAGTGTTGTATTTTATTCCCTTGGCCACCATGATTGGTTCAGACCCGGTAAGTGACTCAAAAAAGAGCCAATGAAATGCAACTGTTTTTTTCCCCCTAGGACTTAAATGGGAAAGAGAGTTTTGTTCTCTCTTGAGACCACCAAGGAGACCCATACCAAGTAAATGGAACCAATTTCAAAGGGACTACAAAACATGGACACTCATTTTTCTAGAGTTCTGTCTTAAGCATTTAAACATCAAATGAATTCAGTCCCGCCTGACACGAACTCTGTCTTTGAAGCCACAGAAAAGCAACAAGGTTAATAGGTCCTTTTTTGTGACAAGATTTCTGGAAGTTACCTAATTCTAGGAGTTTCTTCACACAATCTACCCTTTGGTGGGTACAGGCCACATAGAGGGGAGTTCCGAGCTGAGGCACTTCTTGGTCAATGTTCACGTTATTTGCCAGCAGAATCTCCATGCACTCTCTGTGACCTGGCGGAGCACAAGATAACCTCACTGAAGTAAGTGAAATACTGAGTGTTCACAGGATCATGCAGTTGCTCATCTGGAATGGGCTTTAGACATAGAGTTTTTTAAGCAGAAAAAAAAATGGTTTTGGAAATCTTAGAAACCTCCGAAATGAAACCATTAGAAAGAGAAGCATGCCCGCGATTCCCCCACTGCATTCCACTTTGCAGCCTTTGAGGTACCTCCGACTACACCAAGGGCTCCGAGGAGCACAGCTAAAATCCTCTAGAATGAAGCCGCCAGTTTACACACGGAGGCTCCACAACCCAGAGGGGTAACTGACTCTTGCTATTAGTAGTCTGAAAAGCCAGGGCTTAAATCCAAGGCCCAGCCCTGAACCCTCTCCATTCCAAATTTCTCATTCTCTTCTTCACCTATGCACACAAGGTTGGGCGTATCACTGTACCATGTAGTAAAAGTTCCTTAGTTTGGTTAACCTGGAAGATACCCATGAACATTAATTTTAAAATCTCAAGTACAGAATATATTTGTTTCAATGTGCTTGTAAATTAATGACTAATGAGAACTATGTACAAGTACTCTCCTTAGAGAATTTGTCCAATGAACAGATAGACAGTTCATTTGCAGCATAAGCATGATTTGTTTGGGAGCAAATGCTTCTGAGGTATTAATGGGAGCTCATAAAGAGTTTGTTCTCTTTGAAGATTTAAGTGTTTCCTTTCAAAACATCTTATCATTATTGATTAAGTTAATCAAGCTTTTCTTTATAGGTAACATAAAAGTAAGCTTCTCTCAAACCTGCTTGATTTATCACAAATTGTGAGTGAGGTATAAACAGGCACTAAAATATACAGATAAGGATTCTGTAGATTCAAACTATTTATTTGTCCACATAAGTAAATATTATGCCTGGATAATAACATCAACATGTCAAAGTATTGACCCAGATTAAGTCATCTTATTCAAGAGGTTCAAGGCTGTAAGAATCGGAAGGAGTATCTAGTCAGTACCTAAAAACTCCCTGGTAAATACAGGGTATCTAATAAACATGGTCAAATAATTCCTGTCCTCTTTTTGCAAAAGAAACTGAGCCTAGTTTGAGTTAAATTTAAGTATTCTCAGGAAGTTTTTAAAAAATGAATGCATAAAAGCCAAATGATTAGCACTACTATGGTGATATCTAACATAGTGAGTTTGCTATTCATCCTCCTATTCTGTGGACACAGGAAAAAATATGTAGAAACACATGAATTCATGTGTTTTAGGACAAATATATATGTATATGGTACACAGATGTGTACCATATACATATATATTTGTATATGTATATATTCAAACACTCCATATGTAACCATCTAAGCACTGCAAAACTATTTCAGTAATTCAAACCATTCCCAAAGAAATCTATTTTTAAATGTTTAGATGAAATGTAGATAATAGATTATTTTTCTACTTCAAATCAACATTTTTAAAAAAATTTTATGACCTTTATATCATTTCCAAAGCAGACTATTTCCCTAAAACTTAAAGAACTTATTTGAAGTTTAGGAAATGGCCAACATCATGAACATCAATTGTTCATCAATAAATGTTTACTTAAAATGTATAGGACATTGAAACCATAGATACATTGAGATTTGGGTCTTTTGTACCATTTAAAATAATCAACCCCCCAAAATTTGCTAAGTGATACATTTAATAACCTGGGGCAGTCATTTCACTACTGCCTTTTGAAAGAAAGCCTTTCATCCCCAATTATACCAGCATCTCCATTTTATTTCTGATCTTAATTGAAGAGAGTAAGTCCACCACTGGGTAACACAAAAATGCTGCTCTTTGAGTGTGACCTTTGACAAATGACCTTGGCCTTTCGATGGCATCTTCTTGTTCACGTTTAGTCTATGCATACAATTTTTGAATTCCTTAATTTTACTCTTTTCTCTCATTTCAAAAGGAACAAGGACATAGGAATCGGGAGTCAACCTCAAGGCTTCTAATGCTATGCTTTAGCTATTTTTTTTTTCAGTAACTAATGACTTAAAAGTCATTAGCTCATCTAGAATATATTGCCTATTGTGAACAGTTACATTTAATCTGCCATTAGAAAGACTATCAGCCTCGGCTTTTAGATACTTTCAAATTCATTTTATGTTAGTGGTTGGTGTTTTAAGGGCTTGGGGGATGAGCTACTCTTTTCTAGTAAAGACAGAGACGGAACCAGAGTACAGCTCACAGAAGTCAGCCCTGCAGTCTCCATCGTACTGGCTGCCACCAACACACCAGCAAAGAGCCTCAGGGAAGGCCTGCCAGGTGACTGTCCTCAGGCAATGGGACATCTGAGGAGAAAGCCATTTCTAGGTAATGAGAAAAGCTGTTTCATGCCCTAGTGATATTCCCTGAAGACACAGACAAATGGAAGTTACTGGCGTGGGATTTCTAAACTGCACACAGTCTACGGGTTATGATCTGGGGAATCCATGATGAACACCAGACCAACAATTCATGCCAACTGGAATGAGGCCACCGATGTTCTGTGTGTGATATGCTGGCTCATTTACCTCTCTTGACTGCCTCATGGATAGGGGATGCCAGGTGCACCTCGAGCTGGGCCCGGGCTCCGAATTCCAGCAGCACGTTAACACACGCAGCGCTGCCACTGCAGCAAGCGCTAAAGAGGGGTGTGGCTCCGTGAACCGTCGCTCCATTGACCTAATGATGGGCAAAGAGAGACCCAGAGGATTTGCTATTTCTTTATCACCATCTCCCAGTTGCATTCCCACATAAGTGACTGGAGAAAAGGGTTCCCATGCAGGTGAATGAATGAGAGAACTCTGTATCATTATAGTATGATGTTATGATATTTTTTAGCTCTCCAAAATCCCTTATTGAATAGAATTGGAACATTCGATGGCAACCTAATACACAAACTCAAGTGTGCTAATTAGCAGGCATACAGAAACCCTTGCTTCTCTCAAGCAGCTATGGGCAATTCTGCACCTATCTGTCCTGTGGTTGGCTGAAGTGCCAAGTTCAAGTGCTTCTTCCCTGGCCAGGGCTGCCAGAGCCTGAGGTCCCCCTCTGCCCTGACAATAGTGCCCTGCACCGAGGAGAGGCACAGCACTGCTCCAGTCACCTCTGCCCCAGACACGCCCAGTGCTTAAGAAGGCTGGGACGGGCGAAGGCCCAAGAGTCCTCGTAGATCTCCAACCTCCTTCCTCCTGCCCGTAGCGCCCTTCCTCTACCCACCTGTGTGAGGGGGTTGGGATCCATAAAAGTTATTCCCTATCTACTCTCACCTCTGTAACTGATGTCCCAAATGGGGCAAGATGGGATAAAGCTTTTAAAATGTACTCGTTGGTATTCCAGAGCTTCTTAGGAGCTTCCTAATCATTGAGGAACAGTTCTGTATGATGGTAAAGAATATAGCCCATGAAACCATTAGCTTGGGTTCAAATCCCAGCTCTCTCTTGTTCATTTGTCCAGAGATCTTGCTTGGGATACAACCCTTCTGTGCCTAGGTGTTCTTGTCTATAAAATGAAGATCATAAAAGAATGTACCTTGTGAGGTTATTGGGAAGATCGAGTTACTATATGTTAAATACTCAGAACACTGCCTGGTGCCCAGTAAGCATTCAATAAACATTTGTAACAACAATTATTTCCGTTTCCTATTAATAGGGAGCTGATGCCCCCTCTCAATCATGAACACGGCAGAAAGAAAAATACTATGGAAGTCAACTCGTTTAAGGTCCCCAAATCTGGACTTGCAAAAAATCTTCTCACCAATGCCCTGTATTTTGTCTTTCTTGCTACAGCCTTCCTTTCTGTACTACTGTTATCCATCAGTTACAATGCCAGCAGTGGTTCCTGGAGAGATCACAATGAAGCCAAAGGCACAAAGCAAATAGCCATCCGTGCGGTGTCTACAACCCTCCCTGGTGCCTTCCAGGGATGTGGGAGGCACCTCTGATTGAGCATTAGCAAACGGACTGGAAAGAACAGCAGGGGAACAAGGCATTCTGGTGGGGACGCTCTTATAGGATTGAAATGCAGGACAACGATGATATGACATCTATGGCTTCAACAAGTAAGATGACATCCTTGTGATCATCAGGACCCTAAATTCCTCATTCCCCATTAAATAGGAAAGTTAAATATGAGGTGCTAAGATGGCAGAGACAGACAAGGACAGGGGAAAATGTGTGTAAATTTATACACTGGGGATTTCTACCCTATTTATATTTTTCCTAACAGATATTTGGTGCAACTTCTTCCATTTGTTTTTACTAAGTACTATCCTCTTTCTTAGTCTAGGGAGTCTTCTAACTTGATTGTCTATAAGCTTCTCTCTCAGTTCAGGTCAGCACGCATTTATTGAGCACCTATGAGGTGCCAATTTTTATTTTATTTTATTTTTCCCCCTTTTTTCCCCTAAATCTTATTGTTGTTCAAGTAGAAACAAAAGTTAAGACAATTGCCTCTCATTGAATAGGTTGAATTCTTCCAGGGAAGACAAACACACAAAGAGATCATTAGGTCATTTTGATACAATAAATGCTTTAGATTGAGTATAGGAACAGGACAAAGGAGAACATAGACTTAAGAAATATCTAGGGAGTAAAATTAGCAAGATGTTGGGATTAGTTAGGTGAGGAGATAGAAGAGATAGGATGCTCCCAGGTTTGGGGCTTGGGAAACCAAGAAAATGTCTCAGCTGGCCACGGGGGCCAGGAATCCAAGAGGAGGAACTGGTACCACAGGGAAGAACATGATAAACACAGTTTCAGATGTGCTGAGTTTAAAGTACCCAAGGGACTATTCATTTTGAGGAATTTTCCACTGGTTGATCAACTTTCTCTTGTTCTGTCATTCTGACTTAAATGTTAAGTATTTATTGACTGTGTCCTCATTCGTTTGCCAAAGGCAAGGAACCATGTCGTTCTCTTCTCTTTGCTCCCACAGAAGCTCCCAGAGTAGTACAGCACATTCCTCTATGACCTAGTGCTGTCTGGTGCTTCCTACCTACGGCCTGCCCGTGACTCCATTCATCTAGCTGGAAACCAAGTGGCCCTCCCCCAACCCTGCCCTAACCATTACATGTGACTTGACTAAGGGTAACTTGAAGAAACATTACGTAATGAAAATACACAAGCATTATGGCATCAGGAAAATCACTTTGCCCACAGAAGACTTTGCTATTTGGTTCTACATGTAGAAACCCAACTCCCATACACAATCTAAAGAAAATCTTTGTTAAACACTTAAAAACATCACAGTTCATGAAATAAAGAATGCAAGGACTGAGTTTTAAAAAATGAAATGATCAACAAAACAGTGTCTGCCAACTAAATGTCCCTGAGATTTTCAAAAGTTTTAATTTTATCATTCTATTCTGATTACATATAGCCCATCCATCACTCCTTTATTTAAAAAAAAAAAAAGGAGAATTTAAAAATATGATAAACTCAAGGGGATCACCTGGTAGATTGTATAAATGTCTTCTTGACCATTCAGAAATGCGGATAAGGATGGGGCCAGACTTGCACACCCACAGTGGATAAGCACTCTGAAAGGTCATGTCTCTCTGGACGGTAGTAGCTGCACTTGGGTAGACAGACCTGCCAGGCGGGAGCACTACTCACCTGTGCACCATTTTCCAGTAAGGCTTTAGCACAGGCTACATGACCTCCAAGGCACGCCTCATGGAGAGAAGAGACCCGGTTAATTGTCACGAGGTTCACGTTGACACCCTACAATTTGGAGAGAAGTGGGTTAAAGGCTGCATTAGCAACAGCAGTGATGGCAACCTTGTTGGACAAGCTTTTATTGGCCTGAAGGGATCATATAGAAAGACAAAGAGGCCACGACCAGGGGAATCTAAATATGGCATGGGAGCCCTGAAGTCATTTATCCACCAGATGCTTATTCAGCATTCTGAGGCAGGCAGTGTGCTAGTAGCTGGGTCTTGAAAGTTTATGATGCAAGTCACTCTCCTCCAAGAGCCTAGTGGGGAAACAGATATGGGGGGGGCAGGAAGCAGTAAGAATACATTGTTATATAGGAAGCACGTTCAAGTTTCCATTGGCAGCACAGATATCCTTGAAACTGCTTGGGAAGTCAAAGAAAACTTCACATGGGACGTTGTATTTAGCTAAGACTTAAAACATAAAAAATTTCAAGCTAGGAAGGCAAAAAGAGCATAGTTGACCCTTGAACACTGCAGGGGTTAAGGACCCCAACACCCTGCTCAGTCAAAAATCTGTCTGTAAATTGACTCCCCCAAAACTTAACTACTAGCAGCCTACTATTGGCCAGAAGCCCAACGGATAACACGGTTGATTAACACATTCTGTATGTGTATGACATACTGTATTCTTACAATCAAGTAAACTAGAGAAAAGAAAATGCTATTAAGGAAATCATAAGGAAGAGAAAATACACTACAGTACTGTAATCAGGAACAGAAGGATGACCCCCAGGCTTAAGGGTAGAAAGTAAAGTCAGTGGCGCTCCCAGGACTTATATGTCCGAGTAGCAGTGCTGCTGTCTGCCACTCCCTGACTGCGTACAGAAGTCAGCAGTGCCCCACTATGGGACTGGACACTGGCCCTCACACCATCTCCTTTCTCAGCTCCCAGCAGCTCGGCCCAGTCCTAGCATATACCCCCTCTCCAGACTGCCATGCCCCACCTTCCCTGTCTTGGAGTCCAAGTGACAGAGGACAGGAGCAGGCCAGCTGCTGGCCAACTCGGACTCCATGCCCTGATTTTAACTTGGCCCTTACCAATTCCCCCCCAGGATTACCATTTTCTGTATGTGAAAGAAATTAGGCCCCTGGTTGATCCTTCATAGCTTGAGTTGGTTTTGATTCCCTGCCTTGTCACTGACCTGCTGAAAGCTTCTAAAACCTACTGCTTGACCCTGAACCCCAAGCCCCAACCTCAGTGCCCACCATGTCCCGCCAGACCTCCATGGTGCTACCTGTTCCATTATTGCCTGTCCCTTCATAGTAGGGCCTCTCTATGCCTCCTTGGTCCTGTCCACTTTCATGTTCTGGATGGGACATCATGACTCCAGAATGGCACTGTATAGTTCAGGGTGGGTATAAAATACAATGACAAAAATCCCATTTCCTTTTCTCATATATGATTTGTTTTCAAGGAAAGGAAAACAAGATAGTCCAAAAGATGGCAGCAATGTGCTAGGAAAAAAAATGATAGGTACAAACTCAAAATCCCTGGAATTGTAGAAATGTAATGCTGGGCAGACCTGAAAGAATATCAAGGGTGGCCCTGGCTGGTGTAGCTTCAGTGGATTGAGCTCGGGCCTGAGAACCAGAGGATTGCAGTTTGATTCCCAGTCAGGGCAGATGCCTGGGTTGCAGGCCAGTTCCCAGCAGGGGACACACTAGAGGCAGCCATGCATTGATATTCTCTCCCTCTCTCCTTCCCTTCCCCTCTAAAGATAAATGAATAAAGTCTTTAAAAAAAAAGAATATCAAGGGTGAATCACCTGCACTGTGCATGAGGAAATGGAGAAGCACAAAGTTCAAATTATTAACAAGACCTGAGGCTCCCCGGCTGGTGGTGGCAGCCAGTGTGATAATCAGGAGTTTCTGATCCTGAGTGGAACATTCCACAGCACACCGCGCTATCTTAATGTAAAACATTTTGGCTAGTGAGCAAAGCCAAGGGAGTGGGGTATACTAAGGCAGAGGTGAACTTCTCTACGAAGAATGCTCCTTACACATTTAAGCACCGGACAGAAACCAGCATGCTTCTGCAGTGTAGTTAAAAATAAGACATGCTCAATGCAACGTGGTATTCTGGACTGGATCGTGCAAGGGACAATAAACACTCGTGGAGAAACTGCTGTAACCCTTGTAGTTTAGTTGATGGCATTGTACCAATGTTGATGTTTTATGTTTGACTAAAGTACCAAAGTCATGTAAGATGTTAACACTAGGGCAAGTTGAGTGAAGGGTATATGGGAACTCACTGTACTATCCCCACATTGCTTCTTTAAAATCATTCCAAAATTCTGTTTATTAAAAATACTAATAAAAGTAGTAAAGTGGGAGGCTGAGAGGGAGAAGGTGGATGTAAGACTTTTCACTGTGTACCTTTTTTATATCATTTTCTTTTTTGAACTATGTGAATATATGACATATTAAAAATAATCAAATCAAATCGAATGTGAAGTACCTAAAATAAATAAGCATTTGATATAATCAAGTACAAAGCCTATTTCATGATTACTGCTCATTTTCTTTTTGCCCCTCTTGAGAACTAACGCAGCTCATAAAGGAGAGAAAAAAAGGTAAACACATCCACACACACCCACACCCACACATCCAACGAGCACCATGACCAGCTGTTTCAAATTTAAATGGTAAGGAAGCCAGGTTCAGTGTTAGTCAGGTTGTGGAAAGAAAGATATAATGACTCACCTCCTCTGTACACTCACAGATGCTAAAACAAACAAAGCAAATGGAGCATGTATACTTTCAATCATTTCACTGATATTTCCAAGGCCGCTATTCACTGTTCAAGGGATACAGTCATAAATTTTTAAAAAAGAGGCTTTAATCACTAAGACTTTAATAAATCTTCCCAAAGGAGTAAAATTTACCCATTTGTCAATCTAGTTTAATGTTTGCTCTTGGAATAGTGTATCACCGGGGTAGGCAGCCTCTAACATGGCTCCTGGGGACCCCCGATTCCTGGTACTGCTCCCTGGTATTATCCCTTGTGTGCGGGCTGGATTTACTGACTCATATCTACTGGCAGAAGCAATGGGATATCCCTTTGGAGATTAGGTTATGCTAAGACCTCCTTCTTAGGTTCCCTTTCATGCTCTCTCTGGGGAACGCCACCTGCCGTCTCATGATGTAGGCACCGCCCCATGGAGACGCCCACGTGGCAAGGAATTGAAGCTGACCAACAACCACCTGAGTGAGGTTGGAATCAGATCCCCTCCTAGTCAAGCTATGAGATGACTACCTGCAAGGGACTCAGAACCAGAGCCACCCACCTAAGCTGCTCCTTGGCCAACAGAAAATGCGAGAATCTAAGTGTGTTTTTTTTTCAGCCTCTATGTTTTTTTTTAATCCTGAGGATATATTTACTGATTTGAGAGAGAGTGAAAGAGACACAGAGACAAGAGAGAGAGGCAGAGACATCAATGGGAGAGAAAAACATCAACTGGTTGCCTCCCATACATGGCCCAACCAGAGATTGAATATGCAATTTAAGTATGGATCCTGAGCAGGTATCAAACCTGAAACTTTTTGCTGCATGGGACAATGCTCCACTCAACTCAGACACCAGGCCAGGGCTTCAGCCCCTACGTTTTTGAGGTTATTTGTTACACAGCAATAGCTGACTTCTGCAACTTCAGGGATGCTATAACTAAGGCACCCTGGGAGACGATAAGGTGAATTTGTACCAATAAACTTGAGGGAATTCCCCACCAGCCTCACAAGGAAACTTCCTATGAGATAAAGGAAAGCCCAGAAGGGGCAAGGTGGAAGTGGGCAGAAAATGAGCCAGCTTCCCTAGAAAAGAGAGGCAGGAGGAAGAAATGGTGAGCTGTAAGAGGACACATGTATCTGGAATGGCTATGCTGGACCCAGCAAACCAGACTTCTGCTACAGGCAAAGCTAATAAAGAAGGATGCTTGCTTATAAGATAAGCACCAAAAAATCCATCAGTTTACTTACCTGTGCAATTAAAGTCTTAAGAGCCAGTAAGCGCCCCTGGGCTGCAGCTTCATGAAGCGGGGATCGATCAGCCCAGCAGTCTGAAACACAAATCAAGCTCAGAGTCAAGGTCTGGAGTCTTATTCCTGCAGCTCAGTCATGCTGCCCACCCACTGTGAGAGGAGGTTTGGGGGAAGAGGATACAAGTTTGTACCAAGCAGCAGGCTCTCTTGTCAGCCACTTTCAGGGTGACAAGCCACTGAGTGTACAGCCTGTTAGTTTGTTGGTAGGTGCAGAGAGAGCGCACAAACTCTCTCTGGCTTTGAGAGGCAGTTTTAACAAGCAATACATATAGTCTAGTACTTGAATTAATGGCTCTAAATAAAATGAAGGGCCAAGCTGGACAATGAGTTTCCCCAGTCTCATCTTTCTCCTGCTTCTTCCTCTCACCCCTGCTCTAAAGACTCAACAGCTCAATGTGCACCATGAAGGAGGCTCTAGTGGGTCAGGGAAAATGGTGTTGTTCTAAATCCCCTAGGTAATTGTTTCATTTTGGTCAGGAAGCATATCTGAAATCAGAGTGCAGAATGTCTTTTTTTCAGATGCCGTAACCCTCCAAAAGTTTTTCCCTAAACCGCTTCGTTGGGAGCAGTTGAGTATGATGGCTTGGGTTCAAGTTCGATCGTGACCATTTTTTCTGCCAAAATGGGCAAGTTACTAAAATTACTTGAACCTCAACTTCCTGATCTATAAAACGAGGGTATAGTAATCTAATATTTAGCTAAGTAGGCCAATAGCATACACCCATGATGGTAGGTGCTCAAGTACATACAGGAAGTACATACAGGAAGACAATGCTCTAGGGAATGACCTCCGAACTGCCTTAAAAACATATCTATCTTGTCATTGTTAGTCAGCAAACAAGATTAATGAGCTAAAATGAGCATTTAAGAAATAACCTTCTATTAAACATACCACTGGGCAATTACCTGTTTCAGAAGAAAATCTACTCCAGTGTGCAAAATCTGGGCATTCTTCGAATTATAACTGTGCTCTTCTAGCATGTAATACAATTTGGACTTAACACAAGGGTCATCTTACCAACCTTTCCTAGGTGATCCTGATGGAGTTGAGCATTCAGGTCCCTCATCCTTGCAACCTTGGTGCAAGAACAATCCCGCCAAAGGTGGAAGGTATGTGAATATCAAATAGCTCAAGGCCTTGAAGACAGAGTAAACTTTTCTAACTGATGAGATCCAGGGCTATAAACAGTTCAGTACAATTCTCTTCTTACGCTGAAACTCAACTTTGATACATGAATAGGGGGAAAGCTAGGATGAACTCTGTAGGGTTGGGTTGGATTGAAACTGGAGCAATGGGTATGAAAATGTGATTATATATCTGTGTGTGTGTGCGTGTGAATATATATATATATATATATATATATATATATATATATATATATATATATTCACACGCACACACACACACTGTGCACTGAGAAAACCTAAACTAGGGCTCCTTGGAGAAATGGCTGATTCCAAGGCTGGACCAGGAAAAACATAAGGACCTCAAACACCTTAGCAGAAAGTAAGGAAGTGCTACATGAATGATGGGAAATGTCAAAATGACACAGAAGTTGGCTTGAAGGGGCTTCCACTGGCCAAATATGGAATGATATGAACATCAAAATGAATAATGATTCTAAGAGATTAAATAATCATTTAATTCCTATTAAAAAGTAGGAACCTGTAAGTCCTCACTGATGTAAATGAATATATATAAATTGGGAGAAAAGAGAGTTCTTCCTTAGAATAGAATTCCAGCTTAGAAATGTAGAATAACAGAATCTACATCAAACTCTCTCCCTGCAAAATAATAACTAGTTATAAAGAGAACAGGAGTCATTTTACAGTAAACCAACATTGTAGATACCACCTTACCCAGGGGATCCAAGTTAACATCACAAGTGGTGGGAACAACTTGGCAGTGTGCCACCTGCCGGAACACACTAAGCATCATAAACCACGGGGTGCAATGCAATGGGAAGCCCACGCCATCGCTCGGTGATATTCCTGCTCAAAATGCATAACCCAAATCTAACAGGGACACTGCGAACCAACTGAAGCTGAGGAGCATTCTACAAAATAGCTGGCCTGGAACAAGTTCAAAGAGGGACTAAGGAACTGTTCCAGAGTAAAGGACACACAACATCTGAAGGAAACGGGTGCACCTGGATTCCATCTTTTTCTATCAGGGATATTAAGACAGTTGGGTCAATGTGAATGGGCTCTCTGGGCGAAGAGAGGTGGGAATTGTTTGTACCACTTATAACTTTTCTGTCATTTTGAAATTAGTTGCAAAATAAAAAAGCATATATATATAAAACACATATTACATATAAATAAAATGACTAGTATTTTCATATTCTGCATATAAAAAAGTAAACCAGATACAATTGTTTGCATTTCCCCTTGTTCCTGAGTCAGTTAAAAGTTAGTGAGGGGAGTATTTTTAAATCTCTTGGACATTTATAACTTGCATAGACAGGGAATGACACAACATATGCATATAATTCTCAGTGAGCCTTGCTTTTCTTCTAACACATCTGCATCTCATTCAATGAGACACATGCATCACACAAACTATATGTTGCCCCCTTGCCTAACTGCTCTTGGAAATGAACTCCAGCACTTGGGTTGCAAGGACAGTCTTCCCGGCTGACTAGACAGCAACACAGCACCCTGACCAATGTAAGGGGCAAACCCCCAGCCACTTGCTACTCTTTTGTTCTAACAATAGCCAGTCAACCAAAGTCACCTGAAGGTACCATAAGTGCTTGACTCCAAAATAAAAAATAAGATGACAAGTGGTAATTTGCTATTATTAACTTAGAATATCAGCATGAAATGGCTTTATTATTTCCAAAACTTGCCTCCAAGGGGGTGCTGGAATCCCTTTCCCCTGGGGAGCAGGAGCCCCCCCATCTGCCTCCTATTTCCAGTAACTTTGTCATTCATCAGTCCCCCAAGACCTGCTCTGTACACACAACCTGCAAAGACCTCCCAAACGTATGGCGAGTGAAGGAAGCCCGGCACAAAAGAGTGTGTGCAGCGATTCCTTGCTATAAAGTGCCAGACAGGACCAAACTCACCTCGGGTGACAGGATTCCAAAGTACCGTGAGCAGGGGCAGGGGCTGGCTGGCAAAGGGCCAGGCACGGGCCATGCTGATAATATGCAGTTTTGTGCTCTTGGGAGCTGGTATAGCCGATTGTATCTGCTTTGTGAAAATTTCCCCAACTGTTCGCTTAAGCTTTGTGCACTTGTCTGTATTTACATCAGAATTGGACATGAGGATCTATAAATGACCAGTCTAGGGAGCACGGGGTGGGGTGGGCTGGGATGGGAGAAATAGAAAACTGTACTTGAAAAAAAAAATGACCAGTCTACTGGTCAGTCCACTTTCAAGCTGCACTCTTTGCTCCTCTGCCAAACCCAGGCAGGGTCTGGCCCTCTCTGCCCCCCTGCAGCTGGAGGTGGAAAATCGGCATGTTCTCAAACACGCCTCCACTTTGTTCTCAGTGCCAGCTCCTCTGGTACCTTGGCCGTGGGGAGCAACAAGAGGGACAGGGAATATGTCTCCCCAGTTAACTGGAAGGGCAGGCCAGTCTAACTCACTGGGCCTCAGCAGGTCTTACGCCCAGGCCCCTTTCCTATGCACTGGTATTTCATCCCCTGTCCTATGGCCCCCCATTAATGCAGCATCCTCTGATGTCTCCTACTCCCACCCCCATGCTTCTGAGGTTGCGGCAAGTCTGTGGGGCCATCTTCCATCCCACCAAGAAAGAGGGAATGGCAGTTTGTGCTGGGTGTCTCACCTGCCACGACTCTCCGACTCTTTTCCCTGAATTGAGTAAGACGGGATGGTCCAGCGCACTGCCTAAGCAGGCTTCAATTTGAGAGGGAAATAGCAGACTCCAATCCTTCCAGCACCCCTCATCTGAACTTGCACTTCTCCTGGAGTTCCCATCCTCTGGCTTTTGAGAGACAAAGAGTCTTGCAACACCCCCAAACGCATGACATCCCCTTCACCCCGCACGCTTCTAGTAAGTGCAAGAAACAGGACTGAAATCCAAGGTTTGAGACTTTTGAACACACCCTCTTCTACTTTTAAGAACTACTGGTGTTTAAATTCTGTCTGTCCTCGTGGTAGATTGACTTGTCTGGAGTGTTTTGCTAACATCCACCTTCTCTCTATGGATAATGTGAATTAAACCAACTGTATCACCTTCAGTGTAGAAATCATTTTTGTTTCCCAACTGGAAACAAAACCACTCTTAAGGAAGTCACCTTTCCAATCACATGTTTTCCAGCACTCGCTTGGAAGGACCTTGAAGAGTTTTCCCACAAAACCCTTTTCCAGAAAATTCTGCCAAGGTGGGCTCTCCTGTTTTTCTACTCTTTTCCCAACACACAGTCTCTTATTCTTATCGTTCTTGTTTTGTAAATTGTAGATAATTGCGAGAAATTAAGGATAAAAGTTATTTGGCAGCTCAGGAGTTTTTCCATTCCTTTTAGGAAATATGTAACCAAGCTCTCCAAATAAATGAATGCTGAAGTGCGAATCAGTCAGTCCCTTCTAAGACAGTCTATTTTTAATTATTTGGCAGAATGCCGATGTCACAGGGCTGCAAGCACATTATACGGATAGTTTACACTACAAATATGTTACTTGTTCCTAACGAGGTGTATGGAAAATGTTCAAGTACTTTTCATTCCCCTCTTTCATTTTTTTCTCACAATATGATTTCTATCTCTACTTCTCAGAGTCTGAATAACAACGTCATGACAACTTCTAAAACGGTAGATTTCAATAACAAAATTGGTTGGTGCTCAAAATAAAAATCAATTAGATTTTTCAAAGCTTTTGCAATTTTTACCCTTCCTAATTTTAGCAAGCATGTGAGATTACTGGTTTGTTATGTTTTAAAAAAAAAACCCAGCTAACAGGTTATAATCTGCAGTGCACATGGAACTGTCTTTTATTCTCTTTACTCAAGTTCAAAATCATAGGGAGCAGTATCTTCTCCTACAGCATTTACCAAAAGAAAGAAAATTCAAAAGGAATTTCAATTTTGAACCAAAATACAGGTGAGGCCCTAGGGGAACTAATGATACGTTAGATAACACAAAGGTAATTGTAAAAAGCCTTACTATAATAAATTTCCTGAGATATCTAAGATACTTTAGTAAAATTGAGTTAAAAGGCACACACACTCTCTAGAACACTCAGCTCTGGTCAGGAGATGAACTAAGGTCAATGAACATCTTTTTGTAGTGTATTAGAGAGAAGGTTTCTTCAAACCCTTAGGAGCAGGGGAACTGAATTAGGTGACAGGTGGGGTGAAAGAGTCCCTACTGAGGACTGCTTGTCCCTGTTTGCAAAAGCCAGCAGGACCTCTATTTCAGAAGATGGTTGGGCAAAGGTTGGGAAAACCACCAGCAAAAGTGAACAAGAGGAGAAGGCTAGGTAAAGGATTGGGTAAGAATGTACCCAAGACAGGAAAATCCTGACCAATTAGGAAAAATAGGAAAGAGGAGTCGGATTGATGAGTCAGGCAGAAGCATGGCCATCATGTCAAGGTCAGCCCTTTGAATTTAGAATGAGGACAAGTAATTTTAAGTGTAACACTTACAACAAAATCAGTCTTTTAGACTTACCTCTAAACAGCCCTTTAGAAGGGGGCAGAGTGCAATAGTTCTACAATCCCATATCTGCTATGGTAAAAATCCCCCAAGTTCTAAAAACCAAGTTTTCCCCAAGGCTGACACAAATTCTTTTGGCAGCAAAACATGGCCAAGACTTGGGTTAAGCAACATATTGTTTTTAATTTGTACGTTCACTCACTGTGAATGTGTTCACTATAGAAATATCAAATATTTGATTCTGGGAGGCAGCTCTAAGCCCTGCTGCTGGGAGTGCTGTGTAATATTCAGTACACATTCTGTGTGATCTTTCCAGTATCCCCCCCCCAAACTCCTGAGTCCTATCTGGTCCAAGCATTGTGAAAACACATTATCAACACATTATCAAGTGTGTATCTATACTTCATTTATCAAGTTTGGTAACCAAGTTACTGGATGAAAAACAGCTTCCATTCTGGCCAGATTAGCAAAGGTTGAAAAATCATACACCACATCTCTGGGGAGAAAGTGCATGAAGAAAGGAACATCTATGGCTGAGGGTGGGATCCAGGGATCTGCCTGATGCTCCAGAGGCAATGTCAAGGGCCATGACAATGTGTCAAATGTGTATGCATTTAACTGACAGACTAGGCCAAGTAGCCTAAAAAAAGCAAAATCAAAATAAGCCAACCATAGCTTATTTCAATCCTGATGAGTTACCTACAAATGTAAGAGTTTAAACCACAACAATATATTGAATGCTGTATTCCAGAATATGAAATTCCAGAAAAAAACCTTCCCCAAGAGATTTTACAGTATAAGAAAAAGACACTTAGCGGGGGATATGATGCTTCCAAAAGGAAGGAGTGCTCAGACCTATGGCGGCTGAACTCTGCCCTGGCTGCGTTGTTTACCGCCCCCTTGTTTTTCACAGCTCCGATGATGGCTTACAGGCAAATAATACTCCTGGAAATCAAGACATTTCACCTCCCTGAGACTTATCTCACTTCGCTAGGTAATGTATTAATGAAATGTCACATGGTCTCCCCATAAACAGGAAAGGGAATTTCTGGTTTGAGTTGAACACTTGAACCAAATTTTGTTCTTGATTTTTCAATACACTTAGCTTGAAGTATCTGGTATCTGACTGCTAACAATGTTAAAAGGAACACTGTTGGAATCATGTAGAAACCACTACTTCTGGCAGGTCACTGCCTGTATTATTATAGAAGGCTTTATTGACCAAATCTGGACATACTCTCTATTGTGTGTGTGTGTGTGTGTGTGTGTGTGTGTGTGTGTGTGTGTGTATGAAATTAAACTGAGAAATAAACATGCACTCTCTTCTCAGCTGCCTCTTGTTAATAATAATTGAAAATAAATTTTTGACTTTTAAATCCATGCTATTTACAAATTAAATGGAGTTTACCCTAGTAGCGTGGGCAGATATATCTGAGCTAAAGAATAAATGAGCTCAATTTATGAGATTTGTATTATGGCCCCAGACTTAACGATGCTTATTTAGGCTCTGACTATTATAGAACCTTTTTAAGAGTGTACTTAACTAAGGGCCACAAAGATCAAAACAATGCACTCAAGCAACACAAAACATTTTTAATGCTCTTGCCAACATTGATTTTGTTGGACTTTACCTAATTTAAACCATGAGGATGGTTTTAAATAATCTATGAGAATATCAAAAACCACATTACTGAAATGTTTAAAAAGCCCCTGCCCGGATTTACAGAATAAATAAGAAAATAGCTTTTTCAGATCACGCTTAACTTGAAACTAACAGGAGTTTTTTTTTTTTAACCAGTCTAAGCAACATACCTCCCTGAAATGTGTGACAAATGTAATCCCCAAAAGAAATCTCTTTCCACACTCCGGGCCTTCTTACACTTCTTGAAACGTCCAGATTCTTCTCATTGTCCCCAGTTAACTGAAGCATTCTGAGGGTTTGCCTTTGGAGGTCTTATTTCCTTGGCTAAGGCTGCTGTTATCTAGTGTCTTCAAAGTCATCTAGTGTATTCGAATCACTGAGCTTCGGTGTATTGCGAAAGAGAATCCTAGATGCAAACAGAAACGGATATCAGATGAAGAGTGATGTAATCCTAGAATCCCTATGAACATCAAAACACAAAGGGCAACTTTGAATTCTGTTATGAAGAAATACTTCCCTATTAAGTGAAAATCCTAACAGACAAGGATACCTGATTCGTTCACTACCATTAAGGTGAATGGTCTCTTCAAAGAAATGGAGACTAAGTTCAACAAAGCAGGAGACTTCAAAACGTTTTACCCAAATGTTGGCATTTCATATTATCATAACCTTTGCTCGCAGGGCTTTGTGTGGTACCTCATATAAAAGGGTTTAGTAAAAGGCTTTTCCTGACAGTGCCAACTGGCTAATAAATTCAAATTGTAAATGACAGCCTCCAAATAAATAAAATAAATACAGCTTGCTGCATTAGCTGCTTTACATCAAATTTCTCGGTCATTCTATTTCCTAAGTAAACTCAGTCTTGTTAGAAAGCATTGTTACCATTTGATTAAAGATATTAACAATCCTAGATAAGTAATTCTTTGGGTTAATAACAATAAGGTTTCTCAAGAGTCATTGCTTCTTATATAAATAACCCTTAATCAAAGAACTAGCTTACAAAATATAAAGCTGAAAATCCTTCACAAATGGTGCAGTGGACACCGTTTGCTACTTTAACAATTTTTAGAGCAATCCACTCAAATCCAAAGTATAAATAAAATCTGCCTTCTAGAAATATTATTCATATAAAGTACCCAGGAGGTTTTTTAAAAAATGTATATTGTGACTCAAGACTGTATTCGCATGCATCAGCCTTTTAACAAAGGATGTCTTTTTACCTGAAATTCCACCACAGACCTCTTCTGCTGCTTGTCCTGTATCTCCTTTGACAATACAGAAATGGGTTAGGAGAGCCAAAAACACTTTAATTAAAAGCTTGAATGGAAAGAAGTAGCAAACATGGCAATTAAAATGTTTTTAAAGCTACAGAAAACAGGACCACCTTCCATCTTGGCTTCCACTCTGTACAGGTCCTCACAGCTGCAGACTTATACCCAGTTGCAGTTGGTATCATCTGACATCTATTTTAAACCCTCTAACCCTGAGTGTCGTGTCCTGGAGAATTCCGTTCGCAGGTTCTAAGCTAACTCTGATTTGGCAACTGCATGTGCTGACCTTCACACAAGCTTCAATGAACCAAACTTCCTTCCAACCAGGAACACCCGATATTTCTGGACCCGCATTCCTCAGTGTTATCTAACAAACAGGATTCACATCCAAGCCTTTTTTCATTCCTAAATCCCCATGTCTGCTACAGGATGTTGGAAGGCAGGATTGGAAAGCTAAAACACACTTCTCAGATCCCATGGGGACAAAATGAGTTATTTGAAGTTCAGGCAAAGAAGTACAAATACATTCTATGCCCTTGGTGGCAAGCACTAGCCCCTGGAATACTTCGTTTTTTTTCTCCATTCTGAAGTTCATGGGAGATCAAGCCCAAATCTAAACTATGACTGGTTAAAAAAGATGATTTACTGTAAGGAGTATTTGTACCAGGTCCAGCTGGATGCCTCTCCAAGTAGAAGTGTCATGCTGGAAGCATTAGACTGCTTACTGTAAGCATTTCATCCATGACTAGGTCTGCCAGTCAAGTGGCTGATCACCCACTTCCCATTCCAAGTGTCAGTTAAGGTGGTACCTCTTACTGGAAAATGTGGGTTATCCTTGATCATGGAAGAATCACCATGAAATGGATGATGAAGATGCCCTATGTTCTGGGTACCCAAAGACCCTATCAATCAATACCTCACCTAGTTGGTTAGCAGTAAGCCTAACTGTTCAACATGCATCAGCTGGTCAATACAAGTGAAAATGCCTTATTTTTCATTTTCCAAAAATAAAAATCCACCTGCCTTTTGATCCAGCAATTCCACTGCTAGGATTATATCCTAAGAACCCCAAAACATCAATTTCAAAGAACCTATGCACCACCATGTTCATAGCAGCACAATTTACAATAGCCAAAAGCTGGAAGCAACCTAGGTGCCCGTCAGTAAATGAATGGATTAAAAACTATGGTACATTACACAATGGAATTCTATGCTGCAGAGAGAAAGAAGAAGCTACTACCTTTTGCAACAACATGGATGGAACTGGAAAGCATTATGCTGAGTGAAACAGGCCAGGCGTTGAAAGACAAATACCATATGATCTCACCTTTAACAGGAAGCTAAACAACAAAACAGACAAGCAAGCAAAATAAAAACAAAGGCACTGAAACAGAGAACAGGGGGACAGCGACCAGAGGGGAGAGGGGAGGGAATTTAAGGGGAAGAAATGGGGGGGGAATTTAGAGGAACAAGTATAAAGGACACAGGGACAAGAACTAAGGGGGGTGGAAATGGGAGGGAGGCTGGGATGCATGGGGAGAAATAAACAGAATACCGTACTTGAAAAATAACTAAATAAAAATTTAAAAAAAATTTTTCCCACACATAGGAAAATTAAGTGGAGAAAATCTAGGGCTCCTCTTTCATTTTTGGCTATATCAGATTTTCTAAATTTCTACAACCAATTAGAAAAGACAAGCCAAAATAAAGTTGTAAGAACATATGAAATAAATCTTAGTTTATAAATGCTTCACGCAAAAATATGGCAGTTTCTCCTCCCACTCAAATTACAGTGACTACCTATATAGGAACTGTTTCCCTGTACTTTGCTAAAAGGCTGATGCATGAGAACACAGTCTTGACTCTCACTTAACACACAGCACATAATTTCAGCCTCAGAGAGCCGTAGAGGTTTTGTGTCGTTTCCATTCTCAAGAACAGATATTGCCCTGGCTGGTGTGGCTCAGTGGATTGAGTGCTGTCCTGGGGACCAAAGGGTAACTGGTTGGATTCCCAGTCAGGGCACATGCCTGGGTTGCTGGCCAGCTCCCCAGTGTATCTCTCACATCGATGTTTCTCTCCGTCTTTCTCCCTCCTTTCCTCTCTGAAGATAAGTAAATAAAATCTTAAAAAAAAAAAAACCCAGATATTAACATATAGGGTTGACTTTGCCAACCTTACATTAATTACCTGGGAGAGTACCAATGTATGAAAACATATGGATGAACACAAGTATTCTTGCTCTTTTCACGTTTCTTTCTTCAACTGTACTCTCTGAAGGTGATTATTTACTCATGTCATCCCAGGGATGTGTACTGTCTTATATAACATTCAGTCTTGTTTTGGCCTTGATTTCTATTTAAAACATGGCTATACTTTCTGTTTTGCATATGACAGAAGTTGCCCATGAGCAGCTCAACTTTTTAAAGCTTCAAATGGATGTTTGGGACAAGGGACCCCCCCCCAAAACAGAATTACCTTCTGGAGGGCAGGCCCCTTGTAGTACAGGCTTCTCCCACTGGAGAATTGTTCTGGGAACCCAGCTGTACCTGTGTACCAGCTGGCGTTGTTGTGAGAGGCTGTGTTTGGCTTCAGTGAATTTTTTTTGAAGACTCAACACATTTGCCCCTTTCATGATGGGTGATGTACGAGCACACCTGCCCACACTACAATGAGTGTTCAGCAACTTTTGACCAAAAACAGCATGACCACCATGCCCCCCTCCCTGTTCACCTGATATCACCTCAGGCAACTTTTTTGATTGTTTGTTTCCTTGGATTAAAAAAAGTCCTCAAAAGGGAATATTTTCCTGATGTGGAAAAGGTGAAACGAAAAATGGCAGAAGCACTAAAAGGCATCAGACTTGAGGAGTTCAAAAACTGTTTCAAGCCCTGGCTGGTGTAGCTCAGTGGATTGAGTGTGGGCCTGCGAACCAGACAATCGCGGTTCGATTCCCAGTCAGGGCACATGCCTGGGTTGCAGGCTGGTTCCCTGCAGGCCAGTTCCCAGCAGGGGACGCACGAAAGGCAACCATACATTGATGTTTCTCCTCCTCTCTCCTTCCCTTCCCCTCTAAAGATAAATAAATAAAAAATTTTAAAAAAAAGAGCATTAAAAAAAAAACTGTTTCAAGCAGTGAAAAACACTTCTCCATAGACGTATTGCATCAAATGTCTCCATAGGTGTATTGCATCAATAGAGTACGTTGAAGATGGCTGCAGTTGACACATATAAGAGTAAATGCATACTTTTTTTAATAAATAAATCCCAGTTTTTGGGTCCCCCCCATATACCATTTCTGAGAAACTATCTTTATATTGGAGATGAGCGTTAAGACTAGGGCAGGAGTCAATTCAGGCTTTTCCAGGAGATGGAATCGTCTACAGTAGCACATGACATTTTGTGCCAGATAATTCTTTGTTGCTGGAGGCTCTCTGAAAACAGCGTGTAGCAGCATCCCTGACCCCTAAGCACTGGATGCCAACGCCCCACTCCCATCCAGCTGCAACGACCAGAAATGTCTCCAGACACTCACTGCCGATGGTCCCCATAGGGAAGAAACCACCATCTCCTTCGCCCCTCCCATATCCAGCTGAGAATCGCGGAGCCACAGCCAAACGTAGTAAGAGATCGAGAAAAACCAACTCCCCAAAGTACTGATAAGTAGAAAGCAAATTCTGCAGAGGACTTTAATTTTCAGAAGTCATCATTTAAAAATCCGGCCACAGGATGATAGAGTCTAACCCCATGGAGCCAATTCTCTTGGGCATACAGAGCATAAAGAGAGCTTTAAAAATATTTCAAAAAAAGTAAATACATACCAATTATACCCTGGCTTTGCCAAAAATAAGTTTGGGTATAAGGTAAATCAGATCATACCAATGCAGGTGACTGCTTTCCATCACTTCCAACAAAAGGGGTGGGAGGAGATGGGTTTCTGTAAATAAAATCAAAATTCAAACTCTTCTTAGAAGAGCTCACGAGACAGAGTATAATTACGTAGTCTACATACACAACAATTAATAGATGTATTCGTTTGTTTCGTGCGGTGACTCAAGCACAGTACAAAACAAGGGTTTGTTTGGATCAGGAAACAAAGGCACAATTGAACTTGAAAGAAAAGATGACAGAGTGATTCATCATCGGAGGGATATTTCCTGTTGTACTAAGAGACCTAGCAACCCATTCAATTGCACTGAAAAGATGATGTATTATAGAATTGTATGCCTGAAATCTCTATAATTTTATTAACCAGTGTCACCCCAATGAATTCAATAAAAATTTTTAAAAATAGAAAGCACAGGAGGGAGGGGGTGAGGAGTGCTATTCAACTACTCAATAAAATACTGGTCATAAAAAAAGACAAACTCAGAAAACTGTCAAAATGTCATTTTGGTCTTTATTTTTATAAGACACGTAGCAAGTTTTCATAAATCAGTTTTACATGTGCTACTTTTGTAACATCAAAAGAAATACAATACATTTTTCATAAACTCCTCATCACTGCAAGTTCACTTTTAAATACATGGTAAGTATCAGGATAGAACAATGTGTTTCCATATACTGACCAGTGCAACACTGATAGTTACAAGTAAAGTATCTGGGAAGCTTGAAAATGAAGATTTACTAGAACAAGCAAAATTTGCTGCCATTTGTTAAAAAAAAATAGTTTTCATTTGAAAATTACATATTTTACATGCAAGAAGAACTTTAAATCGTATGTCCACTGAAAATAAATGACAATTGAATACTAATTTTGAAAAAACTGCCCAGAAACAAAAATATAAGAAAAAATAGTATGCCTTGTAAAATTGCCAAATAAAAACAAGTGTCAGTTTCTCGCCTTATCATGAATATTGGCACTGTGTATTCCGTGTGTATATAAGTCAGCTTCTGTGCATAAAAATCCCAATAAGATTTAGTGATTCAGGTCATTTCATTTTTCTTTAACTAAAGAACTCCTAACTTCTAGATTTTAAAAACTGCATTGCTGCGTCTGTGTTTTAGTACGAAATACAGGTGTAATTCTTTACATCAGTGGCAACTGGTTAACAGGCATGTTAAGATACTTTGTAAAAAGTTTTGTAAATATTGTCATTTAAAAAAGTCCTGTACAGAGTCACAATACTGCTAGAATGTAAGTGCACCTACACGTTCCTCAGTCTTTTGATGTCAGTCGTTTATAACAAAAACTTATTCGAAGGCGTTCAATAAGACACACCATGTAGGTAATTTGGGGTTTAAAAACCCATGGCTCCAGGCAACAACAATTACAGTTAACAACGCACCCACCCACAAAGAAACTTATAGTCCTAAAATTTTCAGACTCAATTCACTGAAGAAGACGTTTCAGGCTAAAGACGTTTTTGTACACTGACAATACTTATCGGACATCAGCTAGGCCTCAAGTGAAGGGAAGTGACGTCTCCCAAAGGTACAAGGTAGCAGCTGAGTTTGAGATGGCACACCCTCATACATTCTGCGTGGGAAACACGAAGGCATTTACAGAGAACTAAATTATGCACTAACAGATGTGGAGGGTTTCTCTCTGCACTCTCATCAACAGTGATATCGGTCCCGAGTAAGAAAAAAGCAAAAAGCAGTTTCCTAAACACAAATGAAAAGGTTCTACCTAGCAGAGCACACACTATGGAGTCAGAGAAGGACCCGGAGCATGTCAACAACTGTTTCCTGGCATTAAAAGCATGCACATTTTTGGCATGATGGATGTTTTACAATTTCACATTAACTGTGACTAGAATGAAGTGAGCCATTTCAGTGATGACCAGCAAATGCACTCTGGTCCTTCAGGGCAGGAAGTACCGAGTTCAATGTTCTACATAAAGTAGGCGCTTAAAGCATGCTGGTAAATGACAGACCGTAATACTCAAGAAATCTGCTGATTCTATGTAACACTTACTGAGTGTACCCAACAGGTGTTTAAGAACATAACTTAAACACCTAATAAAGGTACATGGACATGACTTAAAATAGTTCAGAGTTATTGTACTTCCGTAAAGAAAACTTGTAAACATCTCATGAATATCTAATTAATGGTAGAATATTTAAAATTGGCCAAAAAACCCCACAATGCCCAGAATACATTTGGCCCTTCAGCACCCAAAGCTCCCAAAATACATGAAAACGGCTTTGCTAGAGGGATTTCAGTAGTCTGAAAAATTTTGTACCTGAGTGGCTTAAATAGCTTCTCCCCTAAATTTTAAATAAGTGCAAGGAGTTTCTACACTCAGGAATTGCATAAGTAAATCTTTCCTCAAAGTAAAAAAACATTGAATGATAGAGAGGTAGCATAACTTACTAAATTAACTTTAAAAAAGGGAAAAAAGCAACGTTCTTTTCAATAGTGTTGACAGAACTATTGGAAGTGTTTCAAATTCTCCCATCCAGGCTTTCTTCTACCTGCTTTTAGGCATCTCACTATTCCTGCCCCGCTTTCTACTATTAGGATATTGATGAGTCCAGGCACCCTTTGGCCCCGTGGCATCTATGGCAACATCAATGACAGAATCTGGTATCATCCATCTCAGGAGAGTGAGAAAGAGAAAGTTAAAGACAACCAACAAAGCAAAAATGTAGCCGGTTACTGGGCCACAGTGAGAGATGAGTCTGTCCAGCCGCTTGTCCATCGGGAGCACGATTTCTCCGGCCACGCGGTTGTACACCTGGTGGGAGAGAGGCAGGGAATGAGCGCTCTGATCCGCAATAGAGAACAAGCAGGAATGTCTTAGAGATGTAAAGAGAAGTCGCTTGCATGTCATCATTGTTGTTACAGAAATTCTATCTATAGTTAATGACTTTCATTATGGTTCATTATTGCCTTCGGATTCAACACTCATGGAGTGCTTATTCTGGACAGACTACTGAGCTAGATGCCATGTGATCCCAAGACAAACATGTCACGGCTCCTGTGTCCTAGGGGAATCACCATGAGTTTTAAGCCAAGTATGAGAATTCTAAAGACCTGAGAGGTTGGAACCGCTCTTCAGGTCACCTCTCTGAAGACCGCATTTAACTCAGCAGTGACTTCCCGAAGCAGGGCTGGGCTAGCCTTCGAACATTCCTTGGCTCGGCTGAAAAGCTCTCCCTGCTGTCTGGTAGACATCTGCCAGAATCAGGGACACTCTAGTGGGTTTCTCTCTGGGTACAGAGCAGTTCTTCTTTCCCACAGCCACATGCAGCCGCGCTGCTGAGCACAGATGGTGAGAACACACAGAAATGTTTCATGGGTTCCACACAAAAGCAAGGGCAAAGAGATGGGGAAATCTTGGTACGTGGTATAGGTCAAATACTGTTAAAGAAAACAAAGTTTAGTGCTGAGAATTGGTAGTCAGTGGCTTGCTTTTCAAAGCACTTGTAAGCACTAAACTCACAAATAGTTTGAGAAAACCAAGATCTGAAAACATACTTATTTTGAACACATCAAATGAGCCAGCACAGATTTTTCAATTGCACTTGAGCATTACAGGTGCCCATTCTCATGTATCAGATCTGTAAACAATGTCTTTTTGAACTCAAGAGAGTTACCATGTGCGGTACAAATTCTGCAGGCCAATGGCCTTTGAAAGATACAGGATATTTTCATCTAGCTCTTTGAGGATACTTGGAATAGTTTTTAATCAGAATTATGTTGAGAATTATGCTGAGGCTGCTGAATGACAATTGTTCAATTTTCTAAAAAGCACTGTTACACTAGGCAGAAGCATTGAAAAGAATCAAAATGTCCTGTGTGGACCAGGCAAAACCAAAAGAGCCACTGCAAACTGACCTGTAAGTCCACCTTTATTTCTAGGTCCATTAATTTATGATCTTAAGTGACAAAGTCATTTACTATTGTGAAGAGAATGATAGGTGTGACAACCCATTACACACAAGGATTAACTTTTTTTTGAAATGCATACTGTAAATTACCATGGAGTATAAAACAGGAAAAAATGCAGATGTTTTACTATTACTTTAAGCAAAGCTAAATGAAAATTTGCAGCTAAAAAAAAAAATCCCAATTCGCTCCTTTAACATATGCTGACATACTGTGTCACCAGAGTTCTTTGGCCCAAACTTAATATCTATAGTAGCTCAGACTTCCAAGGTTCACATGATGTCAATCAAAAAGGTGCAGGAACAACTTACAGACTATGGTTATCAAGCAGATAAAGTATCACTTAAAAAAAAAACCTATTTAACCAAATAACCCTGCCAACCATTCTAAAAAGGGTCATATTAGAACCTAGGGAGTGGTTGGGAGGAGGGCGGGAGGGCAGGAGGGCAGGCAGATGGAATGAACAGCTCCTGAAAGGCTTCTTAGGTGATTCTGACATGTACCGCCAGCAGGTAATCAGTGCTACACTCCAATTTCCAAAGGAAAAAGGTAGTTATTTCACCTGGGTAGAGAAACTGCAAAACTTTCAGAAGGTGAGAGTGTCTCAGAGACATTTCAGGTAAAACTCTCAACTCAAATACCTCCTATTTCAATGGACAAGAGATAAAAGAGTTTCTCTGCAGTTATATTCAAATAGGAGTTCGTCTTATGCATGGGAATTGAGAACTGAAACCAAATAAGAGAGCCTTCCAGTAAAGAGCTATTCTGCTTGCTAAGCCACTCCATCTTGCTCTCTATTTCTGGCTGGAAACTAGCTAGCTGCTCCACTGCCTACAGTGAGAGCATAAAGCAGAGTCTAAACCTCTCCATGCTCCCAACCAAATGACCTTCTGGTTCATAATTTCTATATACTAAGAACTAGAGTGTTTCCATCCAGTGTGTCAAGTGGTGATAAGAGGCATGAAGCAGATGAAGGAAGGAGATTAAACAAAGGACAAAACTGAGAAGAATAAATGAAGTCCCTAACTTGAAACCAGGAAGCATTTCCCACACCCATACTCTCCCACATAAGAGTATTTAATCTATGTCCTGCACCTGTCCTTTCAGAAATTCCCTAGTGCTGCTTTTTATCTGCAATCATACTTCCAACATGTGTCCTATGCATTTTGAATTCTAACTTATTATGTTCTCAATCAGCCCAAAGATGCACAAATCCTTTTCCTGTAGAAAATTACAGTACTTAGCAGAGGTGATGCAAGAGTTTTTGGAAAATAGTCTGAATTAAATATTTGCAAGTTATAGAGTCGCTGCAATCTAAGGAAAAATCATGCATCTTCTAATAGAACTATATACTTTAGAATTATAAACAGCCTCAAGAAAATGTCTCACAGTAGGCTGAATACTAGTTCTGCCTCTAATAGCTGTGACTTCTGGAAAATTCTGTAACTTCTTTATGCCCAGTTTAATGAAAGGAGGAGACTGCATTGCTGCTACTCTCAAGTGTCAAATGCAATGATTTGATGAGAAAGGTAAGGTCTCGCACATACCAACAGTACACAGTTTACTTCTTTTCATCTGGAAGAGGCCTCATTAGCTTAAGCAATAGAACAGAAATGATAAGTGTGTATAAGAAAAAGCCAATGTGTGCATGAAACATCAGGAATTCAGACACAATCTTCAAATACCCTTTTCTTGGCAGGTGACATACTTTTTCGGTTCTCTCCGCAACATTCCTCCAGGTGTAGAAAGTCTTTACTATGTTATGGATTTTTTCTGGAGCCGGCAATGCTCCGGACTTCAGTTGGAAAATAGCTTTCTCCAATCCCTCACACAGAGATTTTACAGAAGGCTCACATAAAATAATCAGACTTTCTGGAAGAACTTCAGGAATTCCACCAACCCTGGTACTTACAACCTTAAAAAGAAAAAGAACATATAATCTAGCATAATTTGTGTCTCAGGAAAATAAGCAAAACCAGCTTTAAAAAATTACTACAGAACATGTCTGATTCGTTTTCAAAATACATGTACAGAAACCCCAACAATGTAAGCCCTCAAAGCGTTTTACCTGTAAACCACAACTGGCTGCTTCCACAATTGCCATGCAGAATGCTTCAGTGAGGGAAGTGTTAAGAAAAATATGTCCTTGAACTAAGACATTTCTAACATCCTTGTGTTCTAAGGCTCCCAAGAGACGCACTCTGATTTTTGAAATGAGAGAAGAAAGAAGACAGTGAAAATCACACTACGAAAGAAATATAATTTATAAGCCAAGTGTGCTATTCATATTATACAGGGTCCGGCACAAATAACAGCCCTTTTTTAATTATAAAATCTTTCGTTACGAAATCATAAGCATGTAATTCTGCATCATAACATTATCACACTCAGGCACACCATATGATATTTTAGCTGACATGTGCAAATTAAAACTATAAATTATTACACCCATGTTATTACCCTACCAACCACACTCAAGCAGGCATTACTTCTGCTGGACGCTATACTTAGATTCTTACTGGTTCTAATGCTTTTCTCCTCAAAAGATTAATATTGCCAAACTCTGACCTAAGAGAAACAGTCTTATTAATAAGCTGTTTGGTTAAAACTCATACAGCTAACATACTTCTAACTTTTATCACATATCCAATTTCATCATTTCCAAAATGAGTTTGCATTTAATGAAAACATTAATACACTCTGATGAGTAAATGTTAGTGTCATTTCTAAATAGGGGAAAGCCCCCTTTAAACTGACAGGCACAACCCTCACATGTTATCTAAGTTACTGAGGAAGAGAAATATTCAAATCTGTATGTGCAGAGGAACTAGCATCATTTGGGCCATGCTTTAAATCACAACTCAGTATGGCTTCAAAATCTCCAAACATTTCTAATCGAAGTAGCTGGGTTTTTGTACCTTCCAGAGTGCCTCCAATCACTGTCCCATAAAGTCAAGTGACAGTGGGCTAATGAAAAAAGTAAAATTGTGAATTCTTTAGCTAGGGTTTGCCATTTTACATCCACTTAAAAAATAGGCCTTGCATTACATTTCTACACCAAATATATGTAGGGTAAGCAGCTCACTTAATGTATGCATGCAGCAAACACCGCATTTAGGTAATTGATATTTTCTCACCCAAGATGACATGGAATCCATCAATACCTGTCATGTAGCTGGTATCTTTCCCGTACCTCTTCCAAAATTATTCTCTTTGGTCCTTCTCCTCCAATGATGAAATTTAAATCTTGGTATTTCTGACAGAGTTCAGGTATTATACCACTAAGCAAATCAGTTCCTGTAAATAGAAAATAAAGTTAAATGTTGGAGATATTTATATTTAACCTTTAAAAACAATCACCAAAGCTGAGATTCTACTCACTTTGAAATGTATTAGCTATGCCCTCCTAGTAGGGAAATGAATTCTCTGAAACCTTTCCTGGGAGAGAATATTCACAAACTGCCAGGGGTCCTCCAAGAGTTGCAGTTCTTGAAGGTACACACACTGACATCCATTGTTACCTTCCACACACCCAATAGGTGTTGGTAATAGAACCAGAAGGTAATAGAACCCAGTAGGTTCTATTCTGCTTCATTTCAGCATGTTAAAAAGTTACTCACTTGTGTTTACACGTCGGCCACTTCTAGAAAAGGTATTTGAGGTAGCTAACATTTGAGTTAGCTTTCTACAGAGCAGGACAGCTGACTGGAAATCTAGATCTTGTTCTGGCATTTTAACAGTCAAGCTCTTTTTCATGGGACTTTCCTGATAAAGGATATTGAGACCTGTGTACCTAGAGTCCAAGGCCTCTTTCAGCTATAAAGTTCTATTACCCTATGATCCCACTTCCTGCCACAGGAAAGGGCCGAGCAACAAAATGTATGTACCATCTCCACTTTGCACAGAATGCAATTTATACAGAGGATTCTGCAATGAATACTACGGTATCAGCAAAATACTATGTCCATCCAAGCCTGCTATAGGCCACTTCCCTGAAGGAGAGTAAATGAGGGTGATGGGACCATCAGCCAGAACACTGTATTCCATAGAAGAGAAGAGTGCATCTTTGTTCTTTTTACTAGTGAGTCACTTTTCTTATGATATGCAAACACAACCTTAAGTAATGTGAAGCAATAAATCATGTCCTACTACTCTGAATGTGGCTATCCAAAGTGACAGCAATGTTGACACTGAGGAGTTAACTAATTAACAATTACAAACTATAAAGTAAAAAGCCAAAACAACCCAGTTAGTTTATTGAGAAATACGCACACACACAAACACGAGAATTGCACTATCAATCTACCCAAGTAGAGGCAGACCAATCATAAAAAAGATGGTGTGAGATATAATATATACAGATCACTTTTATTAAATAATTGAAAATAAGATTTAAGTGAACTGTGCTTGTATTCTCAAAAGGATTGTATTAGCAAACATAAATTCACATGCATCTTTTCTGAATGATGAAGGCTTCTTATTAAAATCTTATCTTTTTCCAAGTCCATTACCAAAACTATCAATTGGATAAAAGGCTTAATGACTTTTAACATTTATCCCCCTATAACTATCATTTTCTTTCTCCTTGCTCCCTTATAATACAAAGATTAAGAACCCATTCTTCAAATGAAAACATACACAGCAATAATCATAACTGGTGGTAATAGCTCATGTTTCCTAGCGCTTACTATATCAGGCAATATCCTTTAAATACAGTATGTCATTTAATCCTGACAGGTACCTTATACGAAATGGAACTGATTTTGTCACTTATCTATGAAACTATTCTAAAAATAAAGGGTTTTCCCCCCACAATAAAAATGTGCTAGTGCCTTTAAGAAGAGTCTAACATAATGGAACATACAAAAAGACTTCCACTCTCCACAGTCACCCAAAATGAACAAGGAAAATTCCTGATTTGTACTGCTTTTAAAGTTAAGCCTAACAATATTTTAAAGAATCTTCCGAATCTATAACTAAGATCATGGTGGCTGGGCTGGGGTGGAGGAACAGACCTTTCCTCAGGAAGAGCTAAACTCGTGCTTGTCATCTCAGAGCAAGTACTTACCCTCCCTGAGACTCAGTTTCTTTGCCCACAGCTAACATTTACCCTGCAGTTGTTGGGAGAGTCACGTGTAGCAGTGAGCCATGCACAGGCTTTATCAACTGCAGGACACACAGGTAAGTTGTCATTGCCACTACCCCGAGAAGTGGGGCGCGCCTGCCCATTCCCAGGAGCACTGAAAAAGCCTAACTGCGCAAAAAGGGGCTCAAGAAAAGAAGGGAGAAGCCATCCAGGAAAACTGGGCGATAAGAATTTTGATTGACCCTGTCCCTTACTCGATACATTCCAGTGGGCCTCTGATATCTGGTCCAAATGAACACCTAAGGAAATTAATTTGTTAATCATCGATGGACCATTAATAAAACTATTCACTACTGGGCTACAGATGTGGCCATTCCTTCTCAGAATGTTATTTTTCGCACGATGCCTGGCATAAGGAGAAGGTTCAGTAAGTCTTTGTTAAATTATTGAATTGAGAACAAGAAAGGCTGTAATTTCGCCCTGCTGGTGGCTAGTCCAGCTGGTTAAGATACCATAATTAGTGAGATATACATAACACGTTTAATTGTTGTACAGACAGTTAATTTTGCTTTGATCCTTGACCACCCAGGCATCAGACTTTCTTAGCTAGCTATCCCACAAAGGTATACTATTTGATTAAAACACATTTTCTTAGTTACAACAAACACATCAGCAGTACCCTGAGGGATTCAGAATACTGAATGCTGGTACATGACATCTTCTCAATTAGAGAATGACAACATGACATTGCTTTCACCTCATAAAACGCAGTTCAGTAACACTTTTCTCACCAACCTCTGCTTAAGAGCCTGATCGCCCACAACTCTCCATCACAACAGCTAAAGCAGATTCTGGGCCACTCGCTAGTGCACCGACTGCTACCCTTCCGATCCTGCTGCTGCGCTTCACACTTGCCAAGAATCAGCTGCGTTGTCTACAAATCTGTTTGGTAGCAGTTGCACTTGTTACTATGCTGGGTAATTTAATTAAAAAGCACAGAAACTGGCAAAATGAGTTTCTCTGAAACTAAGCTGAACCATTTGAAGAATTCAATAGTCACAGAAAAAAGCCCGTCAGTGAGAGGGTATCCTAAACCACTGTATAAAATGGAAAACAAATGAAAATCCAGAAGCATGCTACTTCACATGGCTTTAGGTTCCCACTGCATTTAAAACAACCAAACTGGCCAATGTAAATGATGCTTTGGGAAGGTAACTGTGCAGGAAAGATAAGCAGCTCAAATCAGTGGACCAGTGCTCTTAAGCCTGCAGGCTTACATCAAACTATTGGCAAATTTGGTGCACATTAATAATATTTTGAGTTGAATTTAGCCTTGACCAGGTAGCTCAGGTGGTTGGAGCATCATCCCATTCACCAAAAGGCTGCAGGTTTGACCCCCCAGTCAGGGCACATACCCAGCTTGTGGGTTCCACCCCCACCATCAAGACACATACAGGAGGCAATTGACTGATATTTCTCTTTCACTGATTGATGTTTCTCTCTCTCCCTTTCCCTCTAAAATCAATCAACATATCCTTGGGTGATTAAAAATCATAATTTTGAGTTGAATTCAAATATTTAAGGGGAGATGATACATTATCACTTTAGTGATTCCTTAGTTTAATTCTGAGTACTAGATAAGTTTTCAGAAAGCATCCAGAACATTTATGTTTGAATTAACCAAACTGTTTCAGATTTAGTAAATGAGGCTCTCCGAATTCTCCTGCAGCATCCAAGAAAAGCTGCAGGGGCACTAAAACACTCCCCGATGGCAACAAACACTCAAGTACAACTGGGCTAAGTACTTCAGAGAATCCATCACTGAACCCTCACCAGATCACCATTCTTGGCCAAATGACACACATGAAAAAGAAATAAGACCCAGAGATGTTACGTAGCTTATCTTCCATCACACAATGGGACACAGCGAGCCCCTTCCTTCATCACTTACCTGCCAATATGTTACTAATTGTCTTAGCTATGATGAGATGAAATATGCAAGCTATAATACAGTAATGTGCAGAACAAGCTCTAAGATTTTCAGTATATGCATTAAAAAGACAGGAAAGCTATAAAATATTTACTCGTCATCCCTGAATAGTATAGTAACACCTGATTTTAGTTTTCACCTTTGTGCTTTCCTTAATTTTCAAAATATATTTAAAGAAAAGGCATTATTTTTGCAATTAGAAATTGGTGGTGGGCTTGCCCTGTACTTCTTACCACGTGCACAGGCCTATTTTAACTTTTTTAAAAAACCTGACTTGTTAAAGGGCATCAGGTTGGTTTTACTTTTGAAGTAACTGTTAAAACCATCAAAGGTTGAGGGGGGCAGCATTCACCATTGTTCCAAAAATGTCTTTTTGAATGTATAAAACAATATTTGACCTTTGCCGTATTTAATGCCGAAGTAGTCATAAAACCATAAAACAGCACTGGCTAGTGTGGCTCAGTGGACTGAGTGCCGGCCTGAGAACCAAAGGGTCACCAGTTCAATCCCCAGTCAGGGAACATGCCTGGGTTGCAGGCCAGGTCCCAAGTCGGGGGGCATGTGAGGCAACCACACATTGATGTTTCTCTCCCTCTTTCTCCCTCCCTTCCCCTTTCTCTCAAAATAAATAAATAAAATCTTTTTTTTAAACCCATAAAATAAACTAAAAAGCCAAGCAATTCTTATATACAAGTATTTAACAGCTTTCTACAAGAAAACGTCTGTGCAGTGCAATTGTAGCTAACGTTTCATTACCTTTTCTGTAAACAAGTCTGCTGACAATAACAATAGTTATTATACTATCATGCCTTCTAAATGGGTCTGGAGTGAAGTCAGTAGGATCTACAGCATTAGGAATGACGGACACTATTTCAGGATTCAGTGTTGCTCTTAGCACAGTGTTTTCCTTACTAGTATAAGAGACACAAATTATGTGGTTTGTGTCACAAAGAGATACAGTTAGAAGCTTGTTTGTAAGCACCGAGCTGACATCAGCAAATCCAAAAAGGGAATGGTCCGTGAAGACTGTACGGAGCCCCATTGTCTTGGCGTGGAAGAGAGCATCATGGGCCATGGCAGAAAAGGAACTATGGGAGTGGATTATCGTGACTCTCTCCCGAACGAATATGTACCTGAGCAATGGCAGACTGTGAAAGAGGGTCGTGGCTGTAGATTGGTTGTACATAACTTTTAGGGGCAAGTAATAGACTTTGAGGCCTTTAGTGAGGTAACGGATGCCTTTTCGATTTCCATAAGCATGGGTGACAACTATGACTTTGTGTCCTCTTTCAATCAGGCACTGAGAGAGCTGGTAAATGTGGCTTTCCACGCCGCCCATATTCGGGTAGAAAAAGTCTGACACCATGCATATACTATGGATCCCAGTCCTACATGTCAGAGTATTTCCAGGGCTAACGTGGTAGAGCGCAGCTGAGGGGCCGTGGCCACCTCCTTCTTGACAGGCCATGCTGAGACAGTTTAGGCATTAGTCCTTAGAGCAACTCAGTTAAGGTCTATGTCATGTAGTACCTGAAAAGAGAGCAAAAGATCTCAGCTCAGAGAAAATACATTCCATACTCCAAATCCAGATATGAATGCAGTTTTAACATTAATGCAAATTTGTTAGCTTCCCCCTAGAAATAAAGCAAAGCTTACCGTGAATGTACTAATTTGACATTGACTTGCCTAGCATTTACTATGTGCCATATACAATCACATTCTGCAGTGTTCTTATATCTTAATTTTGCTTTACAAAACCTGCTATGTATAATCTAAAAAAAAATACCACAGTATATAATAATTTGCCATTCTAACTGGCTTGCCACTGAAACCAATTCATTTCAATAATTACATATTGGGGCTCTTTACAGAAAGTGTGGCCACCTCACTCGAGAACTTAGCCACTGATTCAATGAATATCATCAAGGTCTGCCAGCATTATCTTTGTGGTTCACACTAAAATATATCTGGACCTAGAGCTCTTTTTGAGAGCTGCTTTTCCAAGAGCCACAAATGCTGCAGACATCCGCATTTTCTCCTTTCTTATTCAAGGATGGTGATCATCAAACTGCTCCCTTCATTTTCTTCACATGTCTTTCAGTCACGTGCACCTGCGTGCCATCAGTGCTCCTCCTTTCAGTTTGGAGTCTGAAGATAAAGACTAAACTGGAGATGGGCTGAATCTGGGGCCATTTTGCACATCTAAGGTAGTTTCTCTCAGGGGACTCCTAGATTCTTAATGGTGTAAATGCCCACTCAATATTCAGTACTACTAAATTCTTAAGACTTTGGAAGCTCAAGCGTATTGGAAACCTACTGAAACTCCTCCTCAGCTTTATAAATGGGATTTCCATGCCTCCAGAAACTCAACCACACACATCCTAACTATCTCAGTTTCCAATTGATCCTGCAAGCTCAGAAAACGCAAATTAACCGCAGGTGTAATTGTTGCCTATTCTCTCCAACAAATTCATCTACATTTTACATATATTCTCAGAAATACTCTATAAATGTTTGTTGACCTGAATTTACTAATTCAGAGGCAATATTATCAAATATTGAGATTCTTCAAGTTTGTATTTAAGTGGCTTCATTAACATATTAACTGTGGTTTGCCAATGAAACCTGAATTTGCAGTTCTAGTCTATTTAAAACGATAAATGATCATGAAAACAGCAACAAACCGAATGAAGTCACAGTGTTTCATCAACCTGTCAGGTTCTGTGGAGTCTGCCTACTTCCCTCCAGTTATCACACCTATCATCTTTACGTTGTAAAAGCTCAAAGAACGGTACAATCACGAGGTCTTAGATTTTAAAGCTAATAAGAGGCTAGGAGAGCTAGTTAACACTTCTTATTCTACAAATGAAAACCCAGACAAGTTGAGCGATTTGTCCCAGGTCCTCACCCCGCCACTTAAGTGGCAAATGCGAGATAGCTGCAAATTCGCAAGCCTGGTCAAGGAGTCCCTGAGCAGTCATTAGCAGCAGAGGTTCCCGAGGAGCCTGAAGGAGACGCGACGGGTGACTGTGGTCACGGGGGCGATGCTTCCACCCACCGGTCCCTGGGCACTGCCCCGGCTTCACTCATTGAGAGGACACTGGAGAGCGCCACTGCCAAAAAAGGGACAACCCCGCTCCAGGAAGTCTGCCCCAGCGCATCCTCAGCCCTACTTGAGTCTAGAGACCCTCGACCCCGACTTCTCCGCCTCAAGACGGGCCGGCTTCACTCTCGTCACAGCCAGCCACGTTCCCATGGGGACAGTCCAGTCCAACCCGGAAGCGGCTGAGAAAGCCGGCACGGAGAGGTCAGACACGCACTTACCGGCGAGTCCTATGGCCGCCAGTGTCCGGACCTCCCGCGGCAGCGGCTGGAGTCCCACCCCACTGCTCCCACACACCAATCCGAGGCGTCCGCGCCCGAACGTCACGCCCCCGAAACAGCCAATAACAAGAGGCACTGGGATCACGTGCAAACTAGGCGGTGAGTCCCCACCCTTCAGCTTGGGATCTTGAAACCCTGACCGTGCACACGTCTCCACGACGTTACGACGTTACGGGAGAAGTGTTGTCTCTGTATCGATAGCACTAGTCTTCGGTTGAACCTTTTATATGAATTTCTAATATGTCGCGAATCTGAAAATCGGCCCTAGTGTCTCGTTATACCAGCAGCCCTTCGGGGCCCTTCAGAGGGTAGAGAGACGGGATTCCCAGGGTGCCTCGCAGCGACTCTTAAGGGCTGCTGGGAGTTGTAGTCTGGTGGCCCGTGAAGGCGAACCCGAATTTAGAAAACTACCTCCCAGAATGCACCGCAATTCTAAGCTTAAATCGTGTGAACGGTTAGGTGGGTTCCAACCTTGGTTGCCTAGTTACAGCGTCTCTTTTCTGGAAGTCTGTTCACTGTGGCTTCCCATGGTAAAGGCGGGTCGGAAGGCTGCAGAAAAGTGGGCTCTTAGTGGGGTTGTCGGTGCCACAGCAGAGCAGTACTAGTTCGTACCACTCTGGTAGGGTTCCCTGATGTAGCAGATGAAAATGTACAAAGAAGTCAAATCAAATTAAAAAAAAAGTTTAATTTTATTTCACATAAATTTCTTTACATAAGTATGTCCCAAATATGAGGGACTTTATAAAAAAAATTTTGTCGTTTATCTTAAAATTTAACTGGCCATTTTGTGTTTCATCTTGCAACCGTACACTCTGGAGAAAAAGAATGTGAAGTCTGACCCGAAATACCAACTCTCACTCAAACTCGTTCAACTGGCTACGGAAGTACTTGGCCAAGAGGCTAATGAATCAGTGGGAGTGGTGGGATACACCCTTCCCTGTTGGTACTTGAAATTCCCCAGGCCTGCCCTGCATACTTTCGGGAACGAATGCCTTCCTCGATTGACATCGCATCTTTTCTAAGCCTGTAGAAAACTTACTCATCCCTGAAGATTTCGGCTTTTTTCTGACACTCTCCCCAAATCTTTCGAGAGAATTATATCTTCCCTCTTTTGTATTTTGATAGTACTTAATAGTATTACAATTAAATAGATTAATTTAATCAATGTATTAGGCCATTTGCTGGCATAGCATTTATCAGGTGATATTCAAATTGTTGGCCTGGCTGCTGTCCCCATTGCTCCTCAGCCTGATCCTTGAAGATCTGTGTCTTCTTGGAATCTCACATAGACTTCTTTCTGAAAACTGACAATTGTATTTGTTAAAAATCTGCCTTCCTGGAAAAAAAAAAAATCTGCCTTCCCGGCCAGATAGTAAGGTCAGGCAGGGGCTGTTCCTAGTAATAGATACTGAATACCTTTTCGTTGTATTAATCAAGTTCTACATCCAACACAACACAGTCCCTGACACATATTATATACCTAATAAAATGTATTGCAAATATTTTGTAGAGTGTACCTTATAAAAATTACAATGCACTGATATAATTCAAAGAGCATTTTGGTTGTAGGATGTGAAGTGTATTAATGAGTTAAACTACGGCTGGATAGGGATGAATACCCTGCCCTGTGTTATTGAAGCACCAGTGCATAAAGATGATGAAGACTTAAGGATACTTATTTAAGCTTAATTTGCATTCGGCTTCACAAAGAACATCATCAGTACCAGATGGTATACGACATTGCTTTGGTCTCCTTTTCACTTTTGTATTAGGTTAAAACAAAGAATGTGGGCAGACATCCTGAAAGGTATCAACGAGTTAAGCCCTCGTTTATTTCTTGAACCCCTGGTTTGCCACTGCCATAGTTCTGGTCACAGCACACTTTTCAAATTCTATCGTGAATCTTTTAAGATCTTGATGTCACTACTCCTTGAAAAGAGTTGTGATCTTTTTTCAAAACAGAACAAATGTTTTCTCTCTTTAGCATTGAACATTTACTGAGTGCCTACCCTATAAAAGGCTTGGTGGGGAATACAAGGAATGTTAAAATAAACACAGTCCCTGTTTTAAAAACTTTTTATCTTTCCTAGCTTTTATACACCTTTTACCAATATTATAAAGGAATTCACTTTTCTTGAAAGGTTCTTTGTGTTTTAAATTCCGTAGAATAGGCTGACCTCTATACATATATATTCATAAAAGCACATCGTTGCTGAGTTTCTGTGGGGGAGGGGGTTGAGAAAACCTCAGGCTGTTCCAACAAAGTCTGAAAACATTGAACATTCATCATGCTCCAATCTCCAACCTAGGCTCTGAGTGTTAAAATGCATAAAAATCACGATTCTGTACATGGTTCACAATCTCACATGGATACAAAACTCCATTTATAGTAAGTTCAACCTTCAGCAAAAGTCTCTATTTAAGGATATTTTCTAAAAGTCAAAAGAAAATTGTAGCAGCCAAATTAAGCTATAAATCTGGGGATAATTCTAATTATAGTGTTCTGCCTGAATGTATGGAATCAATGTATACCTTTAGAGAATTTTCTCAGAAGCCACAAAAGATAGACTAAAATGCATGCAGTGTATTCTGATGACACTTAATAAAATATGAAGGCAATCAGTACCGGTTGTAATATAAAATGACCTGTAAATGGAGAAGGCTTAAATAAACGTGAAGATCATTTCCCTTGAAACTCAACTCTTTGTAAACAGATATGTATATTAGCTCCCTGGATGTTGAAATGGGAAGGCAACAGAGTTGTTTTGAGAGCCTGCTACCTAAGGCATAAGGCAACGAAAGCCTGGCATGAGTTTTACCCCCAAGGAACCAAGACAGAGTTAAGGTATATGTAAATGTCTATGATAAAAGGTAGGAAGTGATAAGTACTATAAGAGAAATACCAAAAAAATAGTAGGAGTTTAGAGGAAAGGAGTATTTTTAGCTGCCAGCATTTGGCTAGTAGAGGTAAAAGGGACTCCTGCATCTGTTGGGAGCAAGACCATTCCAAGAACAATGTAAGCAAGGTACAGAGACGGGTGCTGACTGTCCAGTGACACTGTTGCATAATTGTATGGGGGAAGGGAAGGGGTGTGGTTCAGCCGGGAGAAGAGTGGCATTTCCTGTGAAGACAGGAGCAAACTGGCAGAGGACCTTATTAAGGAAAATGGACTTGTTGAGCCAGACTTCCAGCCAAGATGATCTTTTCAATTACTATTTCGAGGCTCCTTGCTCATCATTCTGCTTTAAATGGAAAAATACGAGATATCAAGCGAAAAAATTAAAATGTTATAGCTGTGACTTTTAAGAGAACAACAGAAACACTTCCATGTATCCGAAACAGAACCAAAATGCAAAATGGTAATCAAACCAAAGCCTGATTTGGTCCTGGACTGTGTATTGGAAGCAGGAAAACATGAACCAGGATTCACCTCCTGCAGAATAATAGACTAACAGGGCTCCCTGCATGGCTAGAGACAGCAACCAGCCTTTATAGGAGATTTACATTGGTGGCTTTCAGTGAACCACTTTCCAATACTCACACCCTTGTTTAAGCCCCTCCCACCCTGACTCTAGGCTTGGCCATGCAACTTGCTTAGCCAATGGGATATTGGTAAATGACATAAAGCAGAAACTTACTAAGTGCTTTTGCACTGGGGCATGTTTTATTGGAACCCTTCCACTTGAAAGCCAACGGCTCTACTGTGAAGGAACTTTGGCAAGACACTGAATGATGAAAAGCCAGATGGAGAGAGGCCTTGGAGAATAAGAAAGAGTTCATCTCAGGCAACCCGGTGGCAGATGAATTCCCATTCCCTGATCACAAAACCAATGCAATACTTTATTATTTACCAGTCACCTACTATATGCAAAATATGGTTCTCACACTGGGGAATGAAAGAAGAACTAGACTTTGTCGAATTTACTCATAATAAGCCAGGCAGTGAAAGACAAATATTATGTGATCTCACCTTTAACTGGAACCTAATCAACAAGCAAGCAAGCAAAATATAATGAGACATTGCAATTAAGAACAAACTGAACATAACCAGAGGGGAGGTGGGAGGGAATAATGGGGGAAATGGTGAAGGGTTTACAGGAACAACTATAAAGGACACATGGACAATGACAAGGGGGGTGGAAACAGGGGAGGGTGGTGGGGAGGACTGGGAGGAAAGGCAGAAAACTGTATTTGAACAACAATAAAAATTAAACAATAAAAATTAAAAGTATTTTTTTAAAGTTTAGCTCTTCTTGATCAAATGACCAAATCCATTAAGCTTACCGTTTTCACCAATCTATTGCTTCCTTTAGAAGCCTTAAAATAGATTATTTGTGTCATCTCCTTTACCAAGTATCTCAAACAGCATTTTAATCTCACCCATCTCTGACCATTATACTATCTAATCTGTTTCCATTTGTAAATAGCCTCCCACTACACTGCTTAGTCACAGATTGATGATCTGAGCTGTCATGTTAATAATTTTCTGGCCTTGTGGCTTAGATAATTAGGGATATCATACATCACTGGCATTCATTGTATTTGTGTTAAGCTCTTGGGGATTTTTTACATATTTTTATTTTGAAACAAGTTGAGAATTATCAGCCTACATACCAAAGCTATTAGTATGACAAATATTCCTGTACAATGACCAGTGAGTTCCAATAAGGCAATAGGCTAGTTACCCCACCTCTCCCCTGAGGACTAGCCCTGCCCCAGGTCAGACCCAGCCTCAGAATCCAAGAGCAAATCTCTTGGTGGTCATTGGGGTTGAGGAGGAAACAGGAGGGTGGTTTTACTGATAGAAGTGTAAAGCCAGACTGCAACTACTTTTGTCCTAGCTCAGAATTCCTGAAAATAGTTCCATCTAAATGGCAATTAGGAAGAAAAAGCCACTAATC